TGGCGTTAAGATCGTGCAATATTTGGCTTAGATGATGCATAATGCATGTCTTTAATGTAATTAAAATCGACCTGTTCGCACAAATCCCAGTGTTGACATCTCGGTCGATCGTTAACCTGAGGGGGTCTTTTAAAAATTTCGACAGGCGCAAGGGCAGTCTGTGGTAATTGCATTATTACGAAATCGGTAATGGCGTCATAGCAGATCTTTAAAACAACCTAATTAAAATATGTTTTTATAAAAATTGATAATACACAATGAAACCTATATTTTAAATAAATTGAAATTTTCACAAATTTTCGTACGAGCCAAATCATAAATAAATGGCAATTCCTCTTCCGCCGAATTCCATGCTTAAGGCTATGCACCTTGTGTTCAGCCTTAATCTGAACTATTGAACTTTTTTTGTTTTAAGGTACCGACATGACCTAATCGATAGCTGTACTAGAGACATTTTCCACCTTATAAAGATTGAGCGGAAATATGGATGGAAGCTTTAAGAAATTAGAAGATATATTATTGAAATTAAAGAACGTAAACGAAATATTAGAAAAGGAAACCATGCAAAAATGCGAAACATCAAACCGCAGAAAAAAACGCGGAAAATCTTCGACAAAGCTGATGAATAAACCACCTCGAAATTTTAATTCTCAGTCAAAATCGATTAATGAGCAAGGTTCGCAGATCAAAAGTTTGTCGAATGCTACAAGAGGTCGCACTGATACAAAATCTGCTAAGCCGCAACGAAGCTTAAAGATAAATAGCAATCGGAAAAGTCTAACTAGAAAAGAAAAGAGCAATATGAGAACATTTACCAATTCAAAAGCTCCCACTGCGGCTGTAACTAGGTCTGCAGACAACCATATAATTCTAGATTTTACCACCAAGCCTGACTGGTTTCAACCTACGAACAAACCAATTGAATATTCAAAGAAGAGGAAAAATAATTCAAAAAGTAAGAATCCCTCCCAGAACCGAATACTGAACAATTCAAAGGACCAAAAAAATGCAATTGAACAATCAAAAACAAAAAATAGAAATGGAAGGCATCGAAAGAAAGACCCACCCGAACCTATATTTGAAACAACAGAAGAATCAATAAATTTTATGCCATCCTTCTTCAGTTTTCACTCTTTTTCAGATGACAAGGTCTTTCCTCAAGATATGAATCAAAAAATGTTATCCAATGACACAGACCATGAACATAATACGCATATCACCGGGAACACAATGGTGCGAACTCAAAATTTGAAAAAAGTTGATCTTTTTTCACCACTCAAAGCACTGAACGTGACCGGGTCATCTGATATCAGCGATAAACTTGTACAGATTGCAGAAGGGAAAATAAAGAAAGAAAAAGAAAACGTAAATATCAAGTTCCAATTTTCTTCCGATAAAATGAATATGGAAGAGCAAAATGCCGTTTTAGCGTCAAGCGCTGTCAATTTTTTGCCACGGGCTAAAAGTGAGAATAATGCAAACGATTTTTTATCTCCACGCTCGATGAGTAATAAAGAAACAAGAAATGACGCGGATGGAGAGAAAATGCGAGAAAAAGTCGCGCTATCTAGCCTAACTTGTTCAGACAATGCTTCAAGCGATTCTGCCATACCTAGGGCAGGTTTAGCAATAGAGACAATACCTGCCACTTCAACGTCTAATGACGTATTGGGAAAAGCACAAATAAGCGAAGGAAGTATCTTCTATGACTGTACCTCTTTCATATGTGACGTTGGTGCCTACAGAAAATCCAGGGACAACCAGAATTTGAGTCAAGCCGGAAAAAGTTTTTCATTTTGCATAGATGCAAACAGTTTGGAGAGTAATATGACCGAACGTAGAAGTGAGAAATTTAGTCGTAGCAATACCACACATATTCACAGGAGTAGCACGTCGAATGAAAATAACTCATCTCTGCAAAGTTACAAAAGACGCGAATCTACGTCTCCGGACGAAGGGATAGCGAATTCCCCAGGTGAAATGGACGAATCGCCAACGTCTTCGCGAAAAAATATATTGCCTGACGTGGCCGAGAATAACGAAAGTCGTAATCATATATCAATCAATATTGAAGGTGGATTACAGAGAGAAACAAAATCAAAAAAACGTAGTTCACGACAGCACAAAAGCAGCAGCAAACGCAAACACGCTACGTCTGCGAATGGCACAAATGCAGTCTCAAATGACAAAGATAGGACAGTCGTAAGGCAAGAAAAACACCGAGAAACGCAGAGAAGTGAAACTTCACGGGATACGAAGAAAAAGTCACATCATCAGAAACCTATGAGACTTTCAGAAAAAACAGTGGCTCGTAAGGTTGTAAAAAGCGCACTAATTGAAAATTCGTTAGCTAGAAAAAATAAACCGGTTTGGGTAGAAATAACAAAGGAAAGTACAAATGGGGGGAAGGCAGATCCGACGGGCAAACGTGAAAGGGATAACCAAAAGCAAAAAGATTCTACATCGACGGGTGCAACAAATGGCACGAAAGAATCAAGAAAGATGACTGAAAAGGAAGACAATAAAACAACTAAATCAACATACTACGACGGAACAAATCACAAGTACTCCAAGCGTGAATCACGTAGCAAAAGCTCAAGACAAGATAGATACGCAAACTCTAAATCTACGAAAGATCACAGTGGAAAAGCTAAAGACTCTAATGGCCACCTTACGAAATCCGATATAAAACGTGTAGAGGCACCAAGAACACTCAGACATCGACACCCCGAAGCTGAAAAATCATCTGGACGAAGCAAGAAACCTACGTCAGATAGACGCACGTCAAAATCAAATAAGGAAGCGTCGAGACAAAGACCGAGATCAGTGTCAGCAGATTCATCAGTAAGAGATTTGTCTTATTCGAGTTCTTCATCAAATTCATCTTCTTCAAGCGCGTCTTACATTTCCTCTTCTGGATCCCACTCCGACTCATCAGACTCTTCTTATTATTCAACGTCTTCTGTCTCTGCATCATCAGATGCTTCATCAGGATCCAGTGTATCGTCTGCTCAACCAAGTTCGTTAAAGAAAAGTGGGGACTATAACGAATCCGGAGCTCGACAAACGAAAGCAAAGAAAAAAATTGCTAAATCGGACGAGAGACAACACGGAAAATTAAATAATGATTACGCTGATTCAAGTACCCCTGTTTATGTCTCAAAGTACAAGAAAGCAGAAAAGAAATCATCCAAACGCACTCCTTCCTATGATGCTGGCAGAAAGGAATATAAAATTCTGGATTTAAAACCGCTACAGAAGGCAACAAAAGAAGTTGAAAAAACTTTAGGTTGCGACGACGATCAAGAGTTTGAGGTTAATTTGGAAAGACGACGAAATAGGAACAGACGACGACCAGTGGCGATTGAAGAAATGGTTGCAAAAGATCCACAAAAAGCTCAGTGGCAACACCATCGTCTTGTTACGTCACAGCACCCTACAACGACGACGACAGTTGCAAACCCGGTTGACAAAACTAGACAAATTACTGATCCGCCTTCCGGCGTTAAACAAAAATCTTTTGAAGCGTCAACAAAAGATAGTTTAGGGGCAGTATTAACAATTCGGGATTTATATTCTTTACATCATGTTTTATCCGACACACAGAATGGAACGGTGAGCTTTATTACTGTACTAACTGTAATGTTCAAATGCAATGATTAGATTATAGTAATAGGGCTGAATTCAAAATGTTGCTAAAAATGCTAAATATAGATATTTCGAAGAATACAATAATGGTTTCTGAACAATTTGAAACCTTCACTCAAAATTTGAAATTTCTTTCTTCAAATTTCCATTCATCTATGGTTCTCCTTTATATCCGAACAAGTAATTTTTATAGTTCCTGTTGAACCTGTCAATATATCAACAAAGATTATTTCAATCACCCATATTCAACTATTATTTCAAGAGGTAGTAATATGAAATGTTACCGTGCAATGTTATGAATTAACCCATATATTCCATATAAAAAAGTAAGAAAAATAAATGAATATTACACGAGGTGAAATAACATAGTGAGACCTGTACTTACAATCGCCTTTAGTGAAATAAAGCACTAGCAGCATTTAACGTGGTGTTTTTCAATAGGAGTAAAAAGCATATTAGATAAAGATTGATCTCAACTTCCACCATTTTGTATTTGTAGGTCATTGCAGGACACAGGAGAAGTGATGGAATGCGAGTTGCAATAAAACGAATTGCCAAATCGGGTACAACAAGATGGGGATGGATGAATGGAAAAGTAGTACCGCTCGAACTGGCATTGATTTGTCAAGTCAACGAGGTTTGTATAACAAGTAATTTTATATAAAAAAAAGTGTATCAGAGAAATAACAATATATATAACGTAGAATAAACAGTCCGTGGCCTGCCTCCAACAAAGGAAACAATCGTGACAGAGAACCCAACCCTCTCCAACCATCATGATTCACATTTTCATTTCTTCGAAACCGTGTTTGAAAATAAACAACCGCGAGTACTTATAAAGAGATTTGGGTTTGACATAAATAAATAAGACAATAATATTTCCTAATATATTAAATATGGACACAAAAGTGCAAAACATCTAAGCATCATACCACATATAACCATAACGTGGTGTTGTTGTGGTTCGGGCGACACCAATATGCTAGCAGCTAGTGCCACATAACTGAGGTTTGGAGTTTGCGCCATCAAGATGTAATAAATTAGGTAGTGTATACCGTACTGGAATGATTTTAGTTGATTTCAAAAGGACGTAGCAGTTTCTTCTTGTTCAGAGTCAGATCTTTGTGCGAGGTGAACATGTGAAACTCGTCCTAAAAATATAGGACGAAAGTTATCAATAAGCGATTGATAGGTAATAATCTACTTTTAATCTAACAGGTCAGACATCCTGGCGTTGTCGAAATTGTCGAATGGCACGAAACAACTGAAGCGTTTTTACTGGTAATGGTGAGGCCACATCCTTCCGTAGATTTGTACGACCATGTTACAAAGCAAAAAAGATTGAAAGAACCAGTGGCGAGGTATGAAATCATAACTCACATTTGTCTGATATTCATGGGTAATCCAATCCACTTATTGATGATGCTAATGGCAATTCATGTGCATATAACAATATAAATTATTTTCTTGCCTCCATATTATAAATTACTGTTCATGTCAAGAACAACGTACATGATGAACATGTTCGGTAAATTCAATAGATTGATAGGTAAATTAGCCCATTTTTTGTGATAGTCCTATGGAAAATCCCAATATTTACAAGTTGATAGAAAAGATTCAGAATAAAATTAATAATCTCCATATTTAGATACTTTGTTGATCTTAACTACCAGAACCTATTTTTTCGTGATAGGGCAACTCGCGTTAGGCTCATTTGGAAGGGGGTTTTGTGGCAGAATTCATTTCCATTTGGCAATATGGAAAATTTTGAACAAAATTTTTTAAAATCAGTTCATCTACCTACAATTTAATATTTTGAGAGAATATTTAATTAGCCAGTCAACTTTATTTTCAATGAATCCGTACTAAAATTAACTTCAGTGAATATTTTTCGATTTTTAGACGAATAATAAGACAGCTGGTTTCAGCACTTCTACACTGTCACAAAATGGGGGTCTTACATCGTGACGTCAAGTTGGAGAATATTTTATTTAATCCTGTCACGATGGATACGATTTTGATCGACTTTGGATGTGGAGACTATCATCGATCTGGACAATACAAAGGTAGAATTTATTGGGCCGAAATTGTTATTATGGTATTTATTCCAAATTATTGATAGAATCCCTGGCGCCCGATATTTCACCCAAAATTTTCTGTTTTCCCCCTTCATGAGCATACCATTCAATTCTTTCAATATTTGGCTGCATATTTCATGACATTGTGGTGACCATATTTGATTTCACGTCCATATATTACAGCATTTTTGTCTTGTTAAAATATAAGGGCAATACCACTTGCGAGTCAATTTGGTTCGAAAGAGGCCGGCGACATCGAAAAATAAAGGCGTGCTGATGCTAAAATTCTTTTGTATATATGTTTCCTTGCTCATAAAATATTATAAAAAAAGGTTTCATAATCAAAGGCCATGAAATATATGACGTAAACGGACAGTTCATGCACGTCGTCGATATTCCACTTTATTGACGCGATCTGCCAAAGTATCGTTGCTGTTCAAGTTATTGAGAGATTTTCTCGTATGTTTCAAATACAAGTTCGAAAAAATACTCACTAAACTATTTTAATTCAACAAGTTATATATAACTGTTCACATAAAATGAGAAATTTTAATTTTCAATAAAAAGGGCGGGAAGTAACTCAAGCTAAAGATGTTATTTAGAATTAGTCGAAGTCTGTATGAATAACCGGTACAACCGGCGCAAATTACTAATTTAGAATGCATTTCTGCCAAAATTCTATAAATAGGTTTTAATTCTTTGTTAATTGACGTTTGTATCTCTGGGTTAGACATTTTATCAATATCCATGTACATCTGATTTAAGAAAGTACAATGAAAAATATTCACGAAAACTGAGATATTGAGATATTTTAATCTGACGCGCTAAAGAAAGTCTTGAGACTTTCCCGCAGTTGAGGTTCAACTAGGGGTTAAAACACTTGATGAATGAGATTAATGAGCAGTACAACGTATTATAGTAAGGCAGAAGTGTAATCGGATGTGGAACGACAATTTGAAAACGTTTTTCATCAATTAACATAATGATACATACATAAAGCACATAGAATCATCGCGCAACAGCGAAGTCAAATTAAACTCAATTATATAATGTCCCTATTTTTATTAAATCGTACCAAAATCAGACCACAATATATTAGAGAAAAAACTAGACCGGCAAGTTTATAGTTGAGTGATGTGTAGGTGTAGGAAGAAATTTGATAACATAAAACGTTTTACTTAGCTCGGGGCTATACTGAATTAAAAATGAACCCGACATTTGTTCATGTGAAAATAAGGACAATACATGCTGAAATTCTACACTCGTATTTAACTACAATTCAGTTTCAACTCAAAAGCACCATTTACAGATCGTTATTGTACAGTCAACGATCTTATATATGTGTTACGGTACTACGATATGCTTTTCACGATACCCGTGAATCTGGCATAGACTAATATATATGTTTTGCAAATTTGGCAGGTTTGGTAGCATATTTTAATACGGATGCTTTGGCATCTATATAATGATCGCTTTAAAAAACAAAATTGCATAAAAAATCGATATTGTCAACGAGTGAAAACGAGCAACGTTGCCTAAATTATCCGTATCAGGCAAAGTTGAATATTTAATTTGAAATTGCCGGGTTTGAAAATTTGTATCAATAGTAAGATACCATCGCAACAAATTCCAGTATATAGAAAACTAGTGAAAAATATTCAACGTGTGATTTATTTCGATGAACCTTAGAAAGCATTTTTGATCCACATATGTCTTATGAAGCCCGAGTAATCTGCTCAGGCTGGCAAATAGAATTAATTATACATTGATTTCTTTTAGAAGTTAACTTGTCTACTTGCATATAATATGGTGATTTTATAGACTAGAAATTCTTAACATTTTAAAAATTAATTCATGGATATATTGTTTCATATTTCTCATAAGCTGGTATACTGTATTTTATAGAATTTGCTGGGACGCCAGAATACTATCCGCCTGAATGGTATTTGTACAAACAATACAGCGGAGAATCCGCAACAGTTTGGAGTATTGGAGTTCTATTGTATTCTTTAGTATGCGGTACTCTACCCTTCCGCTCATCTAAGGATATTATAAATAAGTAAGTATTAAAATTTTGACGTTTACAATGCTACAAATCTGCAAAAGGTATATATAATTCTTTCTCAATCTTTTTAACACCCAGATAATGAAGATAAAATTGCGTATTCTATAAAATCAAAATAAGGACATGTTTTTGGTCGGAACTAACAAATTATCATGCGAATTCTCAAAATCCCATTAGATTACCGTCGCTAAACAAATATATTGGGTCTACGATACCTGAGACGAGTTTTATTCTGCCCCTTCAACATTAGCAGATACGACTAGCATTACTTACCTGTATAAAGACGTAATCTCACAGACATCTTGTACCTAATTATCGATAGCAACTACTAAAACCGGAATCATGAGGCAATTATAACTAGCTAGTTAGTCGTCATATCAAACTACTCAATTAGTCATTTTATTTTGTCTCAATTTGATTAAAAACATTTTATTTAAATTTGTTTAAAAACATCACAATTATCTTGAATTGACCTTACATGAAAACCATTTTCATTTGTGAAAATATTTTAAGAAAGCGAGGGTAAAATTTTGAAAAAAACGTCAACGTAAAAGAATAAAATGACATAAGTGATGAAAAATGTGAAAAAGAGAGGAAATCCGAATCTAGATTCATCAATTTGTTTTAGGCGGATACATTTCAGACCGAAAAATGTTGTTAACCTATAAAATTAGGTTGATATGACACATTTTTCATATGATCCGGTTGATCTTTGTGAAAAATAATCGACCCACTATTAATGTGATATAAATGCTAACCTTCAATGCCGCATAACTTAGCCGGGGGGCTCAACCGACAACGTGTGCCAGTTAGTAATACTTGTACATCCCTATGTAGACTTTGCTGAAGTCATTAAATAGATGAAATTTCATACTATCATTAACCACAATATTGTAATGGATGTTGTTCAAAAATTTAATAAAGCCATTTGTATTTTCCCAGTACGCAAATCGACATTTACTCTCTACACTTAACGACAAAATGTAATTCAATTCGTCTAAGATATTAAAAGGTGATTCGAGTTTACCTAACGGTCGTGAACTTAGGTTTACTGGTGCGATACCGCTACTTCGTAAATGACGCTGCAAAAATGCTACTCAAAGAACTTTTCAATTGCAAATCACGCGCGAAATTAGAGGTCATACAGACTTGGCGTACATAATTTGACAAAACAATTATTTTCTTATTTCAATCCTCATGTCTAAGATAATAGCACAAAAGATTATTTCCGGTCTACTTTTAGTCAAAGTTTTAAATCATTAGGTAACGTTTTCGCATTGTACGTGAAACGTCAATTTCTGTTTTCATCATCATCAGGGTAAAGTAGTATACAATTCGAGAATTTATTGAAGGGACATATTACTTTTAGTCTTATGCTAGGTTTCCACAAATTTCAAGACTATGCGAAACTTTCAGAATTGTTAACCGTGTTTGAATCCTCAAAGGTATCAAGCGTATCATCAATCACACTTTTAACCAATACATTTGTTTTTACTGAAAGTTCAAGCCTAATTATGCAGTCTGGTGCTCAGGAGGTGTTTTAGTTTACGTTTGATAGTTCAGGCTCCAAACACGTTTACTTCATCGCGTCAATGTAGTCGTCGTGGCTAAAATGATTTCATGGGCTAAAATCATGTTTTCGTTATAATTCACTACATGGTTCATATTCAAAGTCTATCAAAGGTGACAAGTTTAGTAGGATGAAATTCGGTATAATAATTTCAACATTATAATTGATGAAAAGCTTTCGCACAATTACGACTTGAGTCGATCATGTCAAACTCATGGGAGTTCTTGCAAGCAGAAGCGAACATTCATTTCCCTGTGAATTTGAACTAGTCTGACCACATTCCATCGGATTTTAATGTAAACATTTATTCATTCAACAGCAATTCATATTCTATTTTTAGAGAACTTACCAAGTATCCAACAGATGTATCACGTACAGCAAAACACCTGATTGGACAAGCAGTGCAAAAAAATTATCGTGACCGACCTGACCTCAAAGGCATTTTATCTCACCCCTGGTTCAAATCTTCAAGCGACCATTCTGGAATAAGAAAGAAGTCGGTGTGATCAATTTGTTGTAACTTTATTAGCAACTAGAGAAGAAAGCCTATGAGATGAAAAAAGGCCATAGCATGAAAACATTCATCTTATAAAAGAACGAGGAAGTCCAACATGAAGTCCGGTCAACTTCAGATGGGGAAATAAAACAAAAGCAAAGTTGGTTGAGATTATGAAAGACTACTTTCTTGAACAGGATTTCTAAATACACTTTATTATAAATAATAAAACTCAAATTTTGTTTTACCATATATTTATTAGTAAAATATATATATCTATTTGCACAAGCAGGAGATGTTGTGATAAGACAGTCAACAACGTGTTATAACTTATTTCAGCCTCACAAGGTGCAATTTTCGTTGTTATATATTGCAATAAACGTTTTAAGCAACGTTAATGGAAAATCTTTGAAATCAGAAAATGGGAAAAGGTATTGAGGTTGGCAGATATAGTGTATTTATCGTTTACGAGCTCAGATGAACATTCTTACCTCAGAACCTGTTTTGTGAACTACACTCATATACAAAATAAAATCATCGTATATACAGATTGTTGAGATTGAAATGGCAGCATATTTTCAAATCACCACTCATATATATATATAAATAATTCTGCTAAAAATATATATAAATCTGTGATGGGGACCTAAAATATAGTATGACGAAAAATATCTTCCAATCAGCGCTAAGAAGTAACACTGTTTTCATGGACAAAATATATCTAAGATGGGATAAAATGACATTGATATACACCACGCATCACAGCTGATATATACTAGTATTTGGCAATTGTCTGGCCGTGATTATTATTAATATGTGTTTTTTCGTTTGCAACCTTTTGCAATATCTTTAACGTTCTATCAATCAAAAAACGACTGCAAAGTGTATGAGATGGAAACTGTCAAATAAAACGTCTTAGAAGGCTTAGGCATTGAAACACTGATATATATATCTATGTAAGATGGCAAAATATTAAAATGCGCCCCCTGATCATCGACTGACAATTTTTAACGACTGTTGTTCAATTCTTCTTCGGTATTGTTTAAGTAAAAACACGAGTGTCAATTAATTCCAAGATGAAATTATTTTATTGAAACATTTTACGATTGAAAAGGTTTGCCTTTTTTGCGCCCCTTTTCAAACGGCGCCTATGGCACGAGCTACCAAACCCTAGATATGCCACTGCATTAAAATCCTTTTTCAAAAAATGAAAAACAAAACTGAACACAAAATTTCTCCTATATATTCTTGTAAAAAGGATATATCATATCATTGAATATATATATATGGAACTTCCATAAGCAATACAAACTAAATAAGGATGGAATTTTAAATATAAACATTGCATGGTATGTTGACTGAATTAAGTTCAATAAAGAATATAAGCGTGAATCGGCAAAGTACGAGTACCCCCAGTGAGCGCATAACAATAAGAATATTTCATTCGAAGATTAATTTTATAATTAAGCCACAACATATCAAATCAAGACTAAAATGCATTTAATGTGAGTTGTGCGTCCTATTTTTCATTGTTTTATATCCTTTCTATATTTTTTGTTCAGTCATTTCATATGCATTGGTGTGTGGAGTCTGAGCCCTAATTGCGCCCGATAGTCAGATGCTGTTGCTCGACTCCAACCACCGCTGCATACAGCTTGCTGCTGATTGCAGCAGTCTTCTTGCTTTTGGCTGTCGGTGAGAAAGCATCTGTTTTTATCGCTCTGACGGTATCTGGTTTAATCGCCGTGTTTTACACTGTGTAATAAAGACTCTTCGTTTGCATCGTGGACTTCGAATCTATTTGTGTGGCTTAGCAGTACACGGGAACAGGATCTTCTGAACTAATTATAAATGGCAAGCACATATTTCGGTGAAGACGCGCCGCTGCAATATAATCATGCAAATCGAGATTGAAAACTGACCAGTAGTTGTACAGTGAGGCTATCATGACTTTTTGAAGCTACTATTGATTGATTTGTTCCTTTACCCAGTTTTATGATTTGTAGCATCAGCGCACCAACACAAACAAAATGATAACATATATTGTTTTGGTTGCTTTCAAAATAGTACATAAACAAACGGTTCGAAGAATACGCTAAAATAGGCAACTATATCATTGGAATTTTTGTCACACCTGTTGCAATTCTTCTTGAACTTGAGGAAGAAATTGTGCTCAGATTTAGGCTAATTGGCTACCGGCAGGGGCAACGGACGCATTCTAACGTGCATCGTGTTATTCTAACACAGTGGTTTTGGACCTTTTTGATGAAGCAAAATCACAAGGAAACATTTTAGAGGTTTGGGGAATATCTGTGTAATACTTGCAAGGCCACGTAAAGAATTGTATAAACTGTAAAAATATATATATAACGGTTTTGATACCGTTAGAAAAGATGTACCTTTGACCTATGCAACTGTTCAGATTCAAAACGTCACTGAAAAGCAAAAGTATTTTTATTACCAAAACTAAGACATCGTATATTTCGAAATTATAAAAAAATTTAAATTTTGAAAAAATCGTGAGATAACTTACCAAAATAAAATCAACGGCAACTACATATTATGGAATGACATAACCATTGTCAGGTTATTGTATTTCACTAAAATTACAAGAGCAACGGTCACAACGTCAAAAAACGTCGTCAAGGACCCTAACTTCGGACGGAATTACACAAATAAGGATAAGATTTACATATTTATCTTGGGGATGAGGACGGCTTAAAAATATGGCGAACCACGGCCTCCCAGCCAGTTACCAGTCCATGGTATGGGATTATTTGGCCTGTTATTTGTTTCAGTTGCATGGACTCGATGACAGAGGAAGCCGTGGCCGGGTCCAGCAATCCACTCGCACATAACTATCCCCACGGGATTCAAACCTACCAAACCACGCAGGGCAATCAGAGGTACGATCGCGAGCGCATTCCTAACTCTCAGCACCATGCGCCCCACCGCTGACTCCCAGACGTCACTGTTTCACATACAAATCTCGTGTTTGTCCCATACATTTGAATATCACAGCAAGCGGTGAAATGTGCGGTATTGCAGTGGGGCGGGCATTCATCTGGTCAGTATGAGGTGAAAACGTATTCGAATTTGCCGCAGTATGAGGTTAAATTGCTTTAGTTCCACTGCCTTTTCTTCGTTGACATATTCGTGTTCGGTAACTGGTGAGTCGAAGTACGGAAACGACGGACATACGTGAGGGCGACATACAGGCGATATAAAAGAGAGTGTTCTCATGAATTAAAATGAAACAGCTAAACTTTGTGTAAAATAATTCCACCAGCATTAATAATTAAGCGAAACGATCCATGTGGGCAACTCGTTTCTAACAAGGATTTGATTAAGCGACTTGTACGTACTGCAAAACCATCCCTAATGTTGTTTACACATTCTTGTAAAAAGTTGCAATCAATTACTTTTCACACCCTATCACCTAATCAAGGAAATCATTGAATCAGACTCAAAACGCTATTTTCACAATCCGTTATGTGCACATTGTACGTGTATTTCGTTTTATTGCGATTGACTGAAAATGACATGTTATTTCTGCGCGATCGTGATATATCGAAACAAACTACATACCGCGAAATTGATTCGAGTAGATTTGAAAATATAATAGAAAAGTTCAGAGAATCAAGGTGTTTCAGCATGTGCAGAGTATGTAAACTTAAAGAAGCTCTTAATTAGGAAGTGGCGCAATAGGAAATAATCTAGGCAATAATGAAAGTGAAAACAGTTAGGTGATTCCTTCACCCAACTCAGAATGATATGGACAGGATTGAAATGCGTGCAGGTTTTCAAGTATTTGAAACTATATTTTGGACACAAGTGGGCCTATGGATCGTTTTGTCATCATGTTGTTGGTATTTTTCGTGTCTTGGTATATGAATGTTTTCCTATACATAAAAAATCGTCTTTCTCTATAACTACTGCACTAATTGTTTCGAAATTTTCAGCGGTTAAAGATTGTTGTTGTCGCCAGCAAGCTATTATTTTGATTTGTTTCTAAACTTCCTACGAATCCTATGAGATCGACTTGATCTCTGTTTATTTCATATTCGTGGAAAACGTTTATAGACCGCTCCGTGCTTTGCGATCGTGCTTACGAATTTGGTTACTTAATAAGGTCGAGCAATAAAAGATTTGTTTTGGCCTTCGTTTGCATATATTTGAGTATTGCTCTCTAGTTTCATAAAAGCATACTGCATCCTGCCTATAAAAGAACTCCTTACAGGAGATATTTTTAGCTCATTGTGGTGGTGATGGCAGCTCAAAGAATCCATGGTCTTGTAGATATTTTCACATTGGAGTCGCGGTTTCGTAATTTTATTTTATTCATTTTTTTTTTACTTGTAACATCAGCACAATATCTTGTTTGAAGCCTGAAATGAAAACCATAACCAAAATTTTAACTAATTGAAAATGCTGTGGCGACGAAAAATATATTTCTCTGTCTTTTATTCTCATACGACGCTGCGAGATAGTCTGAAGTCCTTTGCGTATTTCATTGTTGGGGTACTTCAAACACGAATTTTCGAATATATATATATTTGACATACTGTCAAGTCTTTGTGCCAGTGACCCACTATGAAATGCAAATGAGTTAAATTGCGATTTGACCTGTTTAAGTCATGTCAAGAGTTAAAGAATGTGTCACAAGCAGTTTTAAAATGGTATTTCAAAATGATTTGAACTGTATAGCTCTAAACACATTTTCATGCTGTTACCACGCACAGTGGAATACCCCGGCACCAAATTTTCATGTAGTATATTTTCGAATTCTAATGTTGATCTGAGCAAAATTAAGGCGTCGATTTCTCACAAAGACCAATGTACGACGCCATACGTATTACAAATAAAATTGCTTTGTCTGGTAAGTCCCATGGGCCACGTGCTGCCTCTTTAATAAGAATAAAGGCTGTAAGAGCTGAATCTATGAACAGCATTCACCGCAGTTTCAAATCCGTATTACAGTTATAGATTTGATTGTAGGTTCACAGTCAGGTGTACAGGTTAATATGCTCATGCTCTGATGAAATTGAATTTCAAATTCAAATTTGGAAAGCTAAACATGTTTAAGAAGTCTTGAACTGGTCGTATTTCAGATGGATTATTTGAGTCCCTCATATATATATATTACATATTCTAAATACCATGCTGCCTCTGAAAATGATGAGACTAAAATTATTTCGGGGTAATTACAATTGGTTGTAAACAAGGTCAAAATTTTGAAAGGTTTTCTTTGTCCAGTAACTGCAAAAGATGAAAATAATATTTGGATTTTTCATAGTGTTATGTTTTTGCCTCCAAAGATACAAACGGTAAGTGGAATTGGTGTGAATATTTATCAACATTCCGGGGCTGACGTATTTATAACCTAATCTTCTATATTGTATCACACCTCGCACGCTTCTAACTAATCGTTAAATTTTATTACTGAATTTGAATTTTTTTTTTCTTGAAGACAATCTCAAGAATATTCCCGTTGAAAACTTTTGTAATGAGGATGGGTTTGGGAACATGCAAGTCGGGCGTTAGAATCGTTTGCACGGTTGTAGTTTATATAAAATATTAACTTCATCACCAGACACACCACCGCAAAAGACAAATGATGCCAACTGCGAAATTTATAATAGTTGCGGCTGTTAATGTTGTCACTTTGTATTCCAACTATAATAGTCACTGATTTCTGCGTATTCACTTTGTACAGCGCCCATTGCCGTATTTTTATTGACATATTTTGTAGCTAACTGATGTAGTAGGTCTAGGAATAATTAGACAATGTCTTTGCTATCAGAGATAGACACAAGTCTTTCAGTGCAGCAGCCTGCCCAGTTGCTTAATTTGGTGTATCTCACTCTGAATGATCAACTTCTACCGCCTCGTCCTGCACCGAATGGACTAGTAACTGGATTGGAGTTTCAACCTTATCAACAGCCAACATCGTCCGAAGTATGTATATGTTTGATGAATATATTTTTTAATACGAATATTCCAACTTCAAATTGTACCACAACGTTACATCTCGAAAAAAATATGGTAATATCAATAGAAAAAAATCCCTTGATGGAATATTTACTTGTTATGGCAGTCAAATCTTGATACGAACATCGGTAAATCCTTTGGAAAAATGACACTGGTCAAGTGCAAAACCTCAGACAGTGTTTAATTTCATAACACAGTACTTTTGTTGACATCGACTATCGTCTCAAGAGAATCACTACGATGCCTTGTTAAGCAGCTGCGAAATATATTAGGTAACGTCAAAGTCTTCCGCGTTGTTTTTTGTATCCTATCTACAAGGGTTTTGTGACCATGAAAATAAAATGCTGTATAAACTTACCGTTTTGATGATCGAATATCTGCGAACGTGAAATGTAAATGAGTCAAAAATGATTTTAATTGAAAAACAAATTATGATTGTTCGTATTTCAGTAGATGTCTAATAACGCTTTCACTATCAAGAGAAGGAGCGAATTGGGCTTGTGGCGCCAAAGTGTTTATTCGTTGTATTTATATTTTTTAATTTTTTCCAGGCTCTCAGTGGGATTCCAGCTCTGTATTGGTTACCTGATGTTTTGCTTCAAGAAAATGATGAAGTAAATCCACAACAGTTTGGTGATCAAACTTCGGCCCGCGACGCCAGGTAGGTTTTCACGGACGATATCAAACAAACAGCTCTGGATAAAAGGTAAAACAGTCGGACCAGAAGGCCTTAGAGTCACACAGTCGGGTCATTGGCATGCACCCACAGTTCGCAAGTTGGGTCATGACACTGTTGATTGTAAGCACTATCACTAAATATGTAAGAACATGCCACAGTAGTTTTTAACTGGGATTTAATCAGAGGGCAAAAATTTCTATCATCTATTTTTATACATATATATATATATACAATTTTCTTGGTTTGAACATAGCACAACTTTGCATATACGTAAACTTTCAACAAACAATATTAATAGATTAATACGACAAAAAATATCATGAGTGTTAAATCTTAACTGCGTGTTGCACCAACAGAGTTTTTGTAAATGCATAAACGTGTTACCAAATTTTTATTACTTGGCCGCAGAAAAATATTTTAATAACTTGGGCAGAATTGGGTTCGCATTCAACTGTAGGCACTCTGACATATTTTCTCCGATCCAGGTATTAGTCAGTTAAAAAATTCGGTTTTCCGTGAAGAGTGGGTCGAGTCGTATCTGAGTCTCCAATCAATACGTAGAGTAGGACATAGGCCTACTCTATTTTATCCAAGTATAATAGGAATGTGTGATATTGACTTTTGTTTCTAGGCAGAAATAAACCTTGGTCGATGTCTAAAATATATCATTTTCTTTTTTACAACAATTATTACAGTGTGCAACACTGAGTCTAACTTTATAAGCCTTTGGGGTCGGAAATCTCAGGTTGCCTCGTGCCCAACTCGTAATAAATTGTGCTCAGAACGTGATACATGTACTAGTATTTATATTAAAACAATTTTATGAATTCAATTGGGAAAATCCATTCTTGTTTGATTTTGCAGCATGGGAGATTTGGTGGATGGATTCGCTGATTTAACTCTTTCGCTTTATCCACGAATATCAAGACGACCTCCAGCTAACTATCTATGTCATCTATGTTTTACCAAAGGACATTACATCAAAGATTGTCCCCAGGTAAATAATACCTTTATTCGAAATCCTAATAGTTTATTTATACTATACCCAATGACCATAACCATTTACAAATGGCAAAAAGATATATATTGTTAATATTTGATTCTTTTAGGCCAGGCCGAAGGGTGAAGGTATGACACCCTATCAAGGAAAGAAGCGATGTTTCGGTGAATACAAATGTCCAAAATGCAAAAGGAAATGGATGAGTGGAAACAGTTGGGCAAATATGGGACAAGAATGTATCAAATGTCATATTAACGTTTATCCCCATAAACAGGTAAATAAATATTGTTTATTTATATCTATATATTTTTCTTAATTTGACTCAAATATATATATTATAATTTTTGAAGTTTGATACCTGTATGTCATATCAACGAAGTCTGGCTGCATGGAAACAATAAATTGCATTTAAAAATATATATATTCAACGTACATTACCACTGTAGTAAAGATGGTAAAGAAAAGTTTTACCGATAACAGAGAACCGCTGTTAATACCAGTTGTGGTTAGATTCAATCATTCAAAAATATTTGTGCTTTCTACGGATGACAAAAACATTTTGTTGATCATTAGTCGAGGTAGCAAACATCCTACATTTTATACCTCAGAGACCACTAGAAAAACCTGACGGACTCGACGTTTCAGATCAAAGCAAAGAACACCCGCAACATTTGTGTGAAAAGTGTAAAGCCTTAGGTTACTATTGTAGACGAATCCTTTGAAATCATATTGGAACTAAGCTTTGCGTTGTTTAAAAAAGGTAGAATGGATGTGACAGTTTGAAAAAAATAAAGCTAGTAGATATCGACAGGGCCATATTCAGACAATGAGGAGCCCTAGGCTGTTCCATTTGTGATGCCCCTCCAAACAGTGGCGGCATATATTCATTAGTGCGTCATAATAAGCATTTCATATTTCTGTATAGTGTATTATGACGATGTAAAATAATTTTTAATCCCAGAAAACGCCTTATTGATGAATAAAAATTTAGTGATAAATGAAATTATAGAATTATCATTCCAATCTTTAAAATAGATAATCTACGATAAAATGATCCCTAAATAGTAAAAAACATAATAATTTCTAGATTCGTTGTTGCTTAGACTTTGTACAAATTTATTTTTTTACCTATTTAATTTTTGACCTTGACGGGAAATATATGGAACAAGAATTAATAACAAATTTCCGTTTTCAACATTTTAAACCAGTTAAATTGTGGAACATGCCTTAAAATTCAAATGAGAATTAAAAAATAAAGAATGTTCCAAAATTGAATCTCGGGGCATCTATGAATTTTGAGGCCCTAGATTTTAGCCTGCCTAGACTGTGGTTTAATTCTGCCCTGTTCATCGGGTATCATCCAACCGGACAATAATAATTTGGCGAAATGCAGCTGAAATCTTCGGTTGGTGATGATATAAAGAGAAATTAAATTATTAATGCAACTTAATAACTATAGAAATCGTGATATATAATCTCATAATTTATGTGTTTCTATTTATTTACGAATGCAATTGTTGGTTTTTATGATATATTCAAAACTTATGCCTTAAAATCATTGGCCTTTTATGTGTATATACTTTTGATGATGCTAGTTCGAAAAATATTTACTGTACTTGTTTTTATGAAATATATTTTATGCATGAATATTGGCTAAATTATTTGTAAACAAATGATATATTCGGGCACCGTTCACTTCTAACTTTTGCCCCATTGGAAGGAATTGAGAGTTTTAGACAAAAACTAACGCTTAGCATAATACGCCAACCGCCGAGCCACATTATTTTCATTGCTAGTCTAGTTTACTTCATTTTAATACGCAAATTCATAGCGCTATTGCCATGTCCTACCAAAGCGACACTTTGGTCCCTACTAGTCCGGCAGAATCGGGCCTTAACATTGTTTTGGGACATAAAGTTTTTTTTTTTGTTTAGATATAATGTATATGACATATATAATGATACCCAGGTGGGTGTGAAGTATATAATGTTGAGCAATGCTTTTTAAGTGGATTCAAAGTATTCGGTCCAAGATGACGCACATCCTGAATTCTAACCTGGTAAACATACAATGTTCAGGTTATGCGCCATCTTGGTACGAATACTTCAGGAGCGCCTTTTTGTTAAAAACAATTATTTCAGAACTGCATGGTTTAGTTTTGCATACATAGGATTGAATTTCCTTACAATGTCAGAAATTTAATTTTAGTAGAATAAATGGTAATTTATTTCACTAATACAAGCCAATTTCCATCGACAGCATCTAGCCACTTTTTATTGCGTTCATCAAACTACATTTGCGTTGCCGCGCGCATTTCGTTTTCCTAGTTTAAGCTTAGGGACTTGGGAAATATTTTATTAGTTGAATTGGATTGGAATATTTGACCTCGTCTTTCACTCCGAACAAGGCCATGTAAAACCATCAACTGGTATCTTAAGATGTGTAACGTGTTTTCTTTTGAAAGAACCGCAACCTTTCAGTGCTGCATTGACTTTGGCAAAATTAATATATCCTTGTGGAGATAAAAGATATGCGTATGCGAAACCGAGATGTGCACCTGTTTTGCCAATATAGTTGAGTCAAACGTTTTGAATACTAGTACATCACACACATTTTCCCGCGTGCTTCGGTTGTACGTAGTAACGCGCACATTTTTGCGCACATGCATCAAATTCTACTTGATTATTGAGCTATAGGTTTTTGACGAGCTTTTGTGTATGATTTCATTCCATAGAATTTGTATGCTGTTCTAAAGAATACTAGTTTCAGCTTTTTCATTCATTCAAACCGCGTGTTGAAAGTAAGTTTTGTAATATATATTGCGTGTTGGTTTCCGACATCTTTAAATCGGTGATGCCAGTAAATCTTTAATACAAAAATATCAGTTACATTGGCAATAAAAACAGCAGTACCCACTCAAATGACAGCTGGGGGATGGATACTCTTAGTATCTGCTCCATCGCGTGCCTCTTACAGTCTTACCAGTTTACATGAGTGTCAATTGGTATCTAAGCTTAGCCAGAGACAAAAAGTTTCGGACTGCAGTTGGCGTGACGAAATGTCTTTAAATATATATTCTACAATAAGATTATTTGATTGCATACTACTGAAAGTTCCGCCTTTTATGTCTTTTCCCATTGCACTATTCCTTTACTGATATTCGATAATATGACGCTCATCTGACATAGTTCTTAAAGTGTGTAGATGGGTATAATCTTTTCCAGGCTGTTCAGATGGGAATGCGCGAATATATATAAGAATTGCTAATATTGGTTTGCAATGCGATGAAATCCCATCTTGGCATTTCTGCCTCTCGCATTTGCTGCGTATACTTATCGGGGAAGTTCTGTGGCGTGGTTATCAAATGAAAAAAAACATGGGAGTATTTTTTCTACTTCTCTACTACTATCAAACCTTGACATTTTGTGAAAACTTTTTTCCCTGCAACCTTTTTTTTAAACATCCCCAACAACCACAATTAATTCTGTTATTAAACATCCGAAACAAACACATAAAATCATCAACAGATGCATATCACCAAGTAGATATTGCTGAATTGATCTTCATTTTACCATTTTTCATGTAATTCTTTTCGGTAATCTTGTTATCTATCGTAAATACAGCACATTTGACAATGTTGTAGTGTGACTTTTTTGGCCTCATATTTTTGATATTTGTAGTTAGAGCTCTTGGGGCTCTGTCAAACAAAGTTACCTACAAAATATTGGTTGTAAATTGCAAAACATGATCATGTTGTTGGAATAACTTGGCATTTTACCACCCGTATATCATTCATTGTTGAGAATATTAATAAAATCATAAAATTTAAAAATCCGTTTTCGTGAAATTTTTGTTGTAGCTGAATACCAGGGACAGCATGACAACAGGCACGAGAAGCACGGTCGCCTCTTTTAGTTTATGACAGGGTTTCTTAAAAGGGCACCCCGTCCTCACTGGAGGCCGCTGATCGGTTATCTGGGAGCACGAACAAACAGATGGAAATGCGAATATATAATAACAATGTATTTTATAGAAGAGAAGAAGCAAAAGTGTTGAGAGTCTTTGGTAGTTTGACAAGCATTGGCATGGAACATAAGAATGAACTACATTCTTTCCCAGGGATATACTATAAAATGTAGCAATTTTCTCATTCTTGTTCTCGTGATATCATTATCTTTCACTGCGTCGTCGTGATCATCCCGCTGCATAACAATTCTCGCTAACAAATAATTGACTGTTCTCCACCGGGTGTATATCCACTTGAACCACTGGCGACTGCATTAGCACTGCAGGCTTGTATTGTTAATTGCAACAAAAACGGGTATTTTGAAATAGTACTCTTTATTTTACGCGTATGTTTCGACAGTACAGTATTTCCATATACTGTATATGGGTCGCGACCCAAAGCTGGGCTCAACAAATACCTAGAAGTTATTGATTTTATTTCTTAGTAAATTTGGTGCTTTCGTAGTTTGTGCACCAAGATTGCGCACAATCTGAACAATTGAACATAGTATTGTAACAGGTTATGGTTCAGGTTGTGCGTCATTATGATGCACAGGTTTGACGAAAAACACTAATACAAATATCGAGCCGTAAAAAAAATTGCTCAAGGCTGCAAACTCCACACCCATGTAGAAATGAAGGGCAATGACCCCAAGATGAATAATCACAAATAAAAAAAACTTTATGTCTGAAATCAAACTTGGGCCAAAAAGGTCCACTTATCTGCCGGACTATACATCTCTAACGACTTGATAAAGGGTCTGATTTGACGGCATAATACGGTAAGCAAAATTGGCTACTTCTGTACTTGGCTGCACTCTCCACACGCTGGCACCGTTTTGGCGTTAGAGACAACGCATTGCAGCATACAACTGTCTGACTGTACAGGCATTGTAGCCAGTCTGTTAGTTGATCTTTACTTAGTGCCAACGGAATATTGAAACACTTGTAGATTATACAGGATACTGTTATACAGCCATCAGGCCGTTGAGGTTTACAACCTGACAACACTCTGATACCTGGATACTGCAGGATATCGCTATGTCCGAATTTATTAATTCCTTTATGGTAAGTTTTTCATTTCGTCATTAGAGATTCGATATTTCTGATTTTTCGGTTATTCATTTAGGGACTGAATGGAGTGAAACATAACTTGCTGGAGACATAACAAGATAATACTGCAATACAAACCTGACATACCTGCATACAGAGATATAATACCGTAACTTATAATAAGCTGTATAACAGTATAAACATAGTTTGTAACACATGACTTTAACTCCTGTTTTTTCTACATTATAAGAAATAACACACGTGTCCCTTGTTTACAGGGCCATGTGGGGTTTGATGAACTCAAAAAGCATTGCAAACAAGGGGATGATTTCTGTAAAGAGATACTTGCAATAATGGGTGAAAGGTGGGTTGTGTGAAATCTGTATGTTCGAAATGCATAGACATAGACGGATAGAATTTCTGAATTTAGGCGAAATACAGAAATAAATGAATTAATTTACGGAAAAGGGATCACAGAATGACTATTCAAATTAGGGGCTCATGTTCTCTAAACGCCATCAAGTACTTCTAGTTGACATAGCATAACCATTTTTGCATATGTCATTTCTAACCCCCACCTGATTACGTCATCCAAAAATTACATCACTACCACGTCACTGCTGCACTGTGACAAAATAGGTCCGTCAATGTATGTGGATCATCGTCCAAAATGTGCAGATGAACACTCAAAATCAAGCAAGCTGTTTCTCTCGTTTTCTCGTCGTAATGATCCCAATTTAAGAGAGGTCGCTGGCGTTAGCAAGTTCGTTATCATCGTCAGAGATGCCATTTCGGGCGATTGTAGCTCTTCTTTGGCAAGATCTATGGCGTGATTGTGACATCGTAGTGACGTAATATTTGGATGACATAGCCAGGTGGGGTTAGGAATACCATATGTAGTGATGGCATCTCCGCCGACGATAACGAACTCGCTAACGCCAGCGATCTCTCTCATATCGAGATCAATACGATGTGAAAAAGAGAGAAATAGCTTGCTTGATTTCATCTGTCATAGCCATCGTCTGCACCTTTTGGATGACAATCTGTATACTTTGACGGGTCTTATTTTGTAACTGTGACGTTGTAGTGACGTAATTTTTGGGTGGCGTAGTCAGGTGGGGGTTAGACATGACATATGCGAAAGTGGTTTTGCCAGGCCAACTGGAAGTACTTGACAGCGTTTGGTGAACTAGCCACAAAGCGTTTGGTGAACTAGCCACAAAATGAGGTATAGACTAGTACATACAAATATAACCTTATGTGTATGTTATAAAGTATATAATTAAATGTTTATCCATTAAAATGACATAGTCAGACATATATACAAAAATCCTAAACCACTACTGTACTACATAGCTCAATAGTATTTTAAATAAAAGACCATAATGAGATAAGATGATAATTAATGTTATTTCAGTTTTCATTGTGTCGTTATATTTTTATTTTATGTATGGATGCTATGAAAGGAAGATGCTGACAGTTAAAATTCAGTCCATGTCGGTTATGGGATTAGTTAGCCAGTTACTTGTTTTCAGATGCATGGACTTGGTTGCTATTATTTTTTTTTTAATTTTTCTATTAATTTAATTAATGGGCCTATAACAATAATTAATAATAATATTTATATATTTTCAGAGCATCAGCTGAACTTGCTTATGCAAAGTCTGTGAAGAGATTGAGCCAAAGGCTGAATAAAGCTTGTTCTAGTTTAATTGGCTCACCATTGTCAACACTATGGAAGTCAATATGTAGTGAAATGGAGATTCATTCTGATGCTCACAGGTAAATTCTAAACTTGAAAACTTGTTTTGGGAATATATACATTTATATGATATACACACCAGCTTTTGGTTATAATATGGCCTGGTCCATTTATTCTGTGCTTGTAATATAAAAGAGTTAATTGAGAATAAGCAATATGAAATGTATATATGTTCAGTTCGGATTACAGAACTTCAGGATCATGATTGCATTCTATGAACTACAAAGTTTTCAATTTTATTGTTAGATTTATTTTTTTGGTAGATTAGAACCTCGATACTACAGGAATTTTATTTAACTTGATGCATCTTTCAATGCTGCCTCTAACATATAAGTCTGTCTTTTAAAACTGCTAATACCCTTGTCGGATTTCATTCATGTCTTATCATCTTATGCAGTTTCATGTTATATGAACAAAAATAAAAATGTTCATTATCATAGACAATAGAGTGGCATTAAACTATTTTAACAGAAAATTCATATCTTGAAAAACGTGTGGTGGGAACATACTTTCAAAACATATATTTTATTTCTCTCTCACTAATTTTGTGGATTTTTGTTTAGAAAATTCAGCGCATCACTTTTAGAAGATTGTGTGAAACCTTCTGTCTCAAATGTTGAAAATCAAACGAAACTGCGAAAAGCGGTATGTGGAGACTCATTATCACACTATGGTTCATTTTGCCAAATTACTGTTGGTATTCTTTTTGTAGTTGTTTCTGTTGGCAAGGAATCGCTCTTCTTTGAACTTTTAGACAAGTAGATTTCAAATTTTCAGAGAAGCTTGCAAGTCTATTACATCCAGTTTTCTCAAATTATTTATCGAGGACTTGGAATATCAACTCAAATTTTCTTGTTTTTGAATTTTTGGGGCATTTCTCTATATGACATCTGGTACGATTCCCGCTAACATTCACCTTCGCTTTCATATATTTCAGCATTCGTTTATCTCTGTTTACTAATGTGTTCACTATGCAATATTCGTTTTCACAAATTCTTTATTTTCAATAGGATATATTTTTTTTGTTATTAGCTGGAACTTACAGTTGAAAGTACAAGCAAAACACTGGCAGATCGAATAATGGAACATTCAAAGGTAAATAAATGTACATACTGTTTTATGTAAGTTGTTGAATTCAAGGTTTTAAACATGAATCATATGGATTTAATTACGGTACGTAGCATATAGTTTCTTCGGATTTGAACTTCAATTTGGTGTAGTTTTTTCATGGTATTATCAACCTCTTATGATGTTAGTTGATTTTAGCTAGACAATTGCTAGAATTGCTTGGCAATTTTCACAGTGATTGACTGATTACTGTGCAATGAAGTCAGATGAAATCCATTTCAAGGTTTTGAAAACGTGCGATGGTCCAAACAAGGATAAATGTGATCCATGTGACTAATTATAGTACTGATTAGAATGAACAAGCGTAACAAAAATGTAAGTTTGAATATAGCTATGTCAGTTAGCTTAATATTTTTTAATTTAGTTAAAGAAAAGACATCATCAGCTTTCAAAAGAAAAAGAAGCAATTTGTGATCAGTTGGAAGGTGCTCGACCAAAAACCAAAAATGATGAAACAAAAGTATGTAATTCTTTATCTCGATATTTGAATCAAAGTGTTACTGAAATGGACACAAGAGAAAATAAAGATTTTGTTGTATCATTGTCATCTGCGGTATTCCAACTTACTTAGCTTTAGATATTGCTGATTACATGAATGTATCATTCATATGAAATTCAGATTTCAAGTTGTTTGATAGTGCTTGTTCCAAAAACTATAAGAGTGGAAAAAATTATCGATTTACTACATGCACTATCATGTCAAATATTGAGATACATTTTGCTCTATTTTAAAACCTGAACGAAATTGAAATTCCAGAGAATATTGTAAAAAGAACTGTGTAGACTTGTGTGTATTAATGTATGTTGAGACCTGTAGTAAGATATCTTTAGTGTTACTGACGTTTACGTTCATATTTCATGCATGCAAATTATAAAATTGGCAAAACTTGACAATCTATTCTCAGGTTTGAGAAATTGTTATTGATTAATGAAACAATGGTAGCGATTTAAATTCCTGTATTTATATACATTGTTCGTGATATTTTCTATGGATTTACTCGTTCCAAAATTACCAAATGATGTCATGTTTGGTGAATTTTCATTTGTAGGCCTATAATAAGCCCATCGCTACTCTTATAGGTAAAAACAATGGATATGCCTTGTTAAATTATTGTAATATGTGAATTTGGAATGTTTCAACCAAAATTTGAAATATACATGGCTAAACTCTGTGATCAATGTGATCTGAAACCTGATTATTACAGCTGTGATTGGTTAGTGCTAGCAGTCAATTTTCATGCCCACCACCTCAACCATGGTGTAATGAATTGGATAGGCAATGCTGAATGGGAAAAATTATATTCCCTCCAAAAACAGTAGCTTCTTATTGCAAAAGACATGAAAAACCATCATTTAAAAAAACATCCCAATTTAGTTATGGTCATTAAAAAGTTTGTGTATTACATGCATGAGGTAGGATATGACCTCAGTCAGTGATAAAAAGTGATTTTAATCATAACTGTTTGAATTCTAAGATTTTCTTCTATTCTAATATTTGCTTGTTTTTTCAGTTGGCTCAAAAACAAACAAAGAATGATTTGCTATCCTCAAGAACAGATGAAGAATATTACGAATCATTACTCGAATTGCAAAGGAAACAAAATGAGTGGGAAAATGCCAGCAAAAATTTTTGTGTCCGAGTACAAGTGCGTAGCATTTATATGATAGTCTTGGCCGTTTTTCTACCAATTGCGCTTTTCTCGACCCTTTGAAAGACTTGAAATATCACTCGGTATGTGTGCTGACAAATTCTTTTCATTCCCACAATATGTCCACTTTCATGTTATGGCCTGTGTCTATCCCTAACTGCTATATAAGCAATTAATACAAGCTTGTGAAATATCAATTTTCATGTCATAAATTGGAGCTTTTATTGTTTGGAAACCCAACATTTCAACAACCTATAAAATATTTCATTGCCTATTGACTTGAATTGATCGTGATGTTTACAAAACTCGGGTCTCTCTTGTTTCATAAATACCATATTAGCCATTGAATGGTTACATTAATTTATGCTTGTCCATCATTAGTACATAGATAGATTATCTTTCTTGGTACTTAACACTATAAAATGTCCATTTATTAAAGTAAATCAACATTTTCAGGTGTTAGTTTTAGACATCTTCTTATATATTTATTAGAATAGTCAAAAATTCTTGTCTTATTTGAATATAGAAGTGATTGTTTACTTTGTATTCCAGGATTTGGAACGAAACAAATTAGATCTCTCGTGTCGTGTTGCGATGTCGTATTCATCATTAATATCAAACATTTCACAACAACTTTCAACGGTATGTACCACACGTTGTATGTGTACATATTTGATCATTAAACTTTATAAATAAATATTAGCTTTGTGATGATCATTATGACTCTGTCTGTATTTCCATGTATTATTATATCATTGTCTGTCAATTGCCATATTTTAAGTTTGAATACAGTAAAAACATTTTAATGGGTTTGAACGATATTCCAGTTTCTAATAATAAATTCGTAAATTATTAACTTAAAAGATTTATTTTTGATTACTGAAGTCCAATGCATTTGTAATGTGCTGCTGGCTGATCTATTTTAACTTTTAGTGAGCAATTATTGTATGCTTGTCCAAAGTCTTTGCTTCAATAGAATGTTGCTTAATGTTCCCTGTCGTGACATTGAGAAGTTGTTTTGCATACTTTATACATATTTTATAGTTGTTAACTGATATTGCTGTCGCCATGTAATATGTTTACATTTTGTTTTACTTATTATTATTTCTATGGCATTGTTTTGTTATTCAGTAATGAGTTTTGTACATTGACGTAGGACATTTCTTTATTTTTCAATTCAAATCCTATTAGAGTTTCACCTGTTGTAGATGTAATAAAACTGTACTACGAAAGTATGTTAAACTTAGAAATTTTATTTTGCAAAAACGAGTTTTGCAGGCATTTTATTAAGTAACTTTTTCTTTAACTACATCCACATCGAAACACCTTTGACATGAAACATTTTGGTATGAGGTATACAATGTAAATAGTTATGTCACAGCGCTTTCAAAATTGATACCGTTCGGTGCGTTCGGTATATGAAGTAAACTCACCAAAGCCATTTTTCTTCAAGTTATATTGTTTGAAAGACTTGATTGTTATATTGTGCATAATTATGGATACTGACTTCATCTATGTCACAGTAGAATACAGAAGCAGAATGTTTGCTTGCACTTTACTGTAAGTTCTTGAAAGTCCCACCACCAAGACCTTTCTTCGCATTGTTTAATGCATGACTTTTATCAAGCATAATTGTATTAATATTTGGTGCTTCAAATAGTGGCCATATCAAAATGTTTGTATTATGGTATTACCCCTATTGTCTTCGCTGCATACCATTAAATCTTGGTGCATATAAAAAACACATGCACCAGTTTCTTTTTTTTTTGAAAAGGTTTTGGTTTATTTTACATTTGCATTGCTTATGACTATGATACTATTTTTCTGGAATCCTACATTACATTTGTTAGCTGGATTGAAAATTAAAAATTTAGTTCAATGATGATTGTCACCAATTCAGTTTTTCAGGATATATAAATCCAAATTTAGTTGACCATAACTACATCATTTTGTGATATGTTGTTTTGCATCATATGCTATTGATACTACTTCACTTGCTTTGTATATTCACCAAGTAAATCTCCCATTTCAGAGTTGCGAGCAAGTGAAAAAAAACACAGCTAATCTCGATCCAGAGGGAGAGATCAGAATTGTTGTCCAACATAGAAAATCTTCCTCATATCAATCAGAACAACAACTTTGTTCCTATTTTGTGAGTATGTTTTATTACAGTTATCAGATTTTGTTGATTATTCAAAAGTAGCTCCGAAAGTCTCGTGATAGAGTCTTGTTAGATGAGAGTCTCGTGATAGAGTCTTGTTAGTTTAGAGTCTTATGATAGAGTTTTTGTAATTGTAATTGTTAGATATGTGTATAAGGATTTAGGTTCATAAATCCATTCATTTATTTCCTGACTGCCTGAATTCTGCCATGTTAGGCTGACATATCAAAGTCTGTATTAATGCTAGATTGCTAGACCTATTTAGGGGTCATGGATAAAAAATACAAATGTGACACTGATGTATGGTTTTGAAACTTGTGTGGACACACGTTTTGTAGGTTTGCCATAGAAAACTGACAAATTTAAACATTTTGGGCCCTACTCCGTTAATATATTCACATTGCTATCCACTCAATCAGATGGGATCTATCGAAGGGGAAATTGACAATCATATTGTACACATAATAGGCTAGTTATCATGTGATGTCGAATATATTTGTTTATTTTTGAGAATGGGTTTGCTTAGTCCGAGAAATGTTTTTGGTACATGAAAAGCTTAATAAAACTCTGGCGCATTGCATTCAGTTATCCTCTTGTTATCATTATCTTTCCAGGCAGAGAATTTCAGCAATCGAATAAAAGCGGGAAGAAGGGTTTCGGGTTTGACAAAACCACTTGAAAAGTTTCTTGGTGATTTACAAAAAGAACGAGCACATTATGATGGAATGCAACGACTCATGGATGCTCAATCTTCTAGATCTACAGAAGATGAGAAAACAGAGATGAGACAAAAATTATCTGCGGTTTGTGAAAGAATAAGAATATTCAAACACATTTTCAGAACAGATTCCTTGTATCTCATATTTCCATTCATCATGAGTTGCATTTATTTGTGTCATATTCAGGCTGTTTTATTGTGTCATATCATATTATGGACCTGTCTTGACTCATTGACAGATATTTTGTGTATATTTGTATAAATTTCATAGTTTTCCGGATAAAGTTACATATATTCCAGAATTGAATAATCATCCCCAACGACACTTGTAAAAGTGCTGGTGATGATTTATAATAAAAATTTGTTATTTCAGATATCTTCAATGATAACATTCCTTGACGTCAATCGTTCAAAACTTCAGAAAGCAATATCAACTGTTAACGGATCATCTGTGGATCCCCATCCATTAGCTGGGTCAATTGAAAACCATTATGATAAACAGGTTAGTTTGTTGTGTAATTTGGAAGTCTTTGTTGAGCTTATTTCAGTGGTCCACAGGTCAGGTCATCTTCCCAACTTTACCTCTCTCCTGGGATATATGTGAAAATTATCTTATGAATATCTTTAGGATTAGATTTTGAAAAATATTACCAGATATAGGTAAACTTATTAATCTTTGGAAAATTTAGTTTTTTGTTACGAAAAATTAAAATTTAGGTCCAAATAAAATTGAAGAAATGCTAAAAAGGTATTTAATTTGTATTATATTTATATTTTCAGGGTATTATGCATTCAACACTGAAACTTCCATATGATGGCATGAATGATGATATTGTTTTTAGTTCATCGAATGGATATAATCCAGGTAATGTAACACATTTCAAATCATTGGTCGGATAAAATCATGACTTAATTTTCATGAATCATGATAAAAATGAATAGTGTATAGGAATGTAATGGGAGTTGAAGTGACGTAATTTTTGAATGACGTAGTCAGGTGGGGGTTAGGAATAACATATACAAAAATGGTTGTGCCACACCAACTAGAAGTACTTACGTCGTGTTGTGAACATGGCCCAATAAATGTATATACAAGAAAACAATTTTTTAAATAGTTGGTAAATGAATCAGTTGTAACTATACGAATGTTAAAGTCACCAAAGTTAGTTATTCAATAAAGCCAAATGCCAGTATGTAAATAAATATTTATTTTAAACAGGTTTGTTATATAAAACATATCTACATTATGTACAAATTGCTAATCTAATTTGAATGGGGAACTCCATTAGGTGTCAAATGTTATGCTCATGCTATTAAACTGATACGTTAGGAATATTCACATATTCATTAGGCGCACAGAAATTGAAATATATTACATTAGACAGTGAAAAATGACATGCAGTAGGTGTCAGAGGACAATCATGAAATATTTGAATTCTGCATTCTATGCATAAATATGTTCATACAAAAAAATTATCATAGTAGTACCTGTAATACAATTTATGTAACGCTTCTGTACTGTTCCAAAATGCACGCAAAACATAGTTATTCTGGGAAAGCAATATTTAAATGCCTTATTTTTTATTTCAGTTCAAACCCAGAATTATCCGAAGCAAAGATCTCAATCTGACAATATTCATTCTACAGATGATATCGGTATCATGAGATCAGGTGTTGTATTTTTACATTTAAACTCAAAAGAAAAATAAACATATTTCATGCAGAAAAGTTAAATTTTGAAGTTATTTGGCAATATTCTAGCTAAATTGTTTTGTTTTATTTAAAGTTTTTGGAATTGCCCCTTTTTGAGGCACAAATGACAAGTCATTCATAAGATTTTATTTGGTAACAAAAATTTCAGGACACAAAAATAACTAATAGTAGTAAATGACTAATATTTCGAAACACAATGAGCAAAAATTGAGGGAAATTTTTTTGTGCGTGAGCTGTAGTAAATTTTGTAATCGTCACAAAGGAAAGAAAATAATGGATAATGGTTATAGTTTTGAAAATATCAATAAAACGTCGATGTTGTACATAACAGTTTTTATGTAAGAAACAGTCTGCCAACTCCAGAATTATGAGAGGCCGTGTTCTGATAATATATTTTAGCTGTTGCTCCAAAATCAAAAAGCTTCAACAGAGGAGGAACATTAACCGCGAAACAAATGCAGAATTTAAGTTACGGGATGTCAAATAATAATAATAGAAAACAAGCTCCTGCACCACCTCCTCAAAATTCAACAGGTAATTATTTTGAAATTGATTCTGGTATTTCATTTTAATGGAATTTACCCTAATTCTATTGGATCAAGTTACTGATAACAGTGATAACAGTCCCGAACCTCGATAGTCGAGTCTTTTATCACGATAAACCGTTACTTCGCATAAGATTCGTCGTATCTTAATGTATGTTAATTGAGTCCAAAGTTGAGGCGATCTGTCGAGTTATTAGGTCTCACTGGCAGTTATTTGATGATTGGAGTTACACTAAGTCTTTGGTAAAGGATAACTCGAGTTGAGTCGATCACTTGAACTGACTGATAGCAGGGTACAGTTCTGAGCGAAGTAATGATAATCTTACCCCAAGTGAATGTATTTCTAGTTTTGTGTTTATTTCTGTTAAATTCACTGATTAATGTCCCAATGAGGTGTAGTGCAGTCTAAAAAATATGTGATTAGATTTAGCTTTGACTGTTCTGAAGTAAATGATCATTCGTTAATGATAGTTTGCTTTTATGGGTATATACTTCTTTGGCATTAGTGATTAATGTGTAGACGATGCAGTGCTGCAATCACTTCATTGCATTCATTTTTAGTTATTTAGAATTTAGATTATTTAGAATTATGGTATTGTTACATTTGCTAGTATTATTTTTGTTTCGAAAGGTGTATGTTATTCAACTTTCACATTCAGGTCATATGCCATCTGCTAGATGTATCGCTAAATACAGATACGATTCAAGGCAATCTGATGAACTTACAATTGAAGAAGGTAATCTTGCTGTTTTTTACTTTTTGTCAAATAAAATCTTGCCGATTTATGTGGATAAAAGTCTGTTCAATGATGTACGTAGTAATGATCCCATTACGAAGTACCCCTTACCCCATATCTGAATATATGTGGTTTTCTTAAATTCTCCATGATTCATTTTGTTTTTTCAAGTTAGTTGAATATACATTGAGGGATCTGGATAATCTGATGTATAATCATGCCAAGCGGCTGGAATATAGCATTGTATTAGACATTTCTACACTTCATCTGTTTGTACCTATCTGTAATTGAAACTAGTAACTTATTTTGATTCGAATGAATATTAGATCATTTCTGACATATTCACTAGCAAAACAGTAATTCTTATATTCCTAAATATTTAGAACCAATTTTGGTTCTTGTTCTGAACATCCCGAATTAACTTGGATCTAATGGATAGTTAAAAATATATTTTCTTTTTAATCAGCTTAGCTTCAAAGAAAAGTTAAATATTTGTTTTCTTTTTACACACACACTTCAATTCAACCACACTTCATTCACAATTCAATGCAATTTAATATACCTTTCCGTTTCATCATAAAATATTTTATTGCTTTCACAAAACTCTTCCAAACTTTTTATACACATTCTTACAAAGAGATGTTTTACATCTATGGAAATTCACAGCAAAACAATGTCTGATAGTAACTTTATATACATTTTGAGTCATTCTTTCATATAAAAAGATAATATATCATATTTTACCAATTTTTATAACTGTTATCGTTCTATGAGATAAAGTCTATAAATGAGATATTGTCTATCAATAAAAATATTCACATCACAAAACATATCGTTCTACCAATTGTTCTCTTGTTATTTAAAGGTGACGTTATAAATATTCATGATAAATGTGATGCTGACTGGTGGAAAGGAGAAATCAATGGAAATGTTGGAATATTTCCTGCCACATATGTTGATATAATGCCTTAAATGTTCTGATTGCAACTATTACAATTAATCTCCTATGCTGTTTTTGGACATTAGCACCTGTACTTCCTGTCCTGGAAAACTTTGCTTCTGAATTGACGATGACATATTCATACAATAATATAATTCTCAACATTGAAAAAAAATTCAGCGCTCCAAAAGTGTATGTACCAATATGGTGGTAACCAATTTTGTTCGCCTACTTTAGATCAAGTTGTAGAAAGGGACTGAAACCTATGGGCAGGGGGTATATTCACTTGGCTAACAAAGACAGTTCCCGAACTCGTAATAGAACTAAAATCGGAATAAAATTATGACCTAACCCTAACCTGCTACATGTACTACAAGAGTAGCCATAATTCATCATATTTTGGAGAATCACGTTGATTTGAACGGTTTGGTTTACTTCAGTTCATAATTGGTACAGATTTACAAATGAAAGTTTGGTTTTATTTTTAATCAGGTTATTTTTTCAAGTAATTTCTAAAATATCTACTCATAAAGTCTATCATATTCTCAGTGTTCTCTGATGAAAGGATAATATTCTTGCCTTGTAAAGTTGTAATAAGATTCATAGTTTTGGTTAGTTTACATTCACTCTCATGTAGCTGTTAATTGGAGTAGTTTACGCCTAAATGCTACTCTTTTCTAGCATCTTTTTTGTTAGTGGTTCCACTTGCCTGAACTGCTAGGTAACTTCTCTCACCTTCTTTACATACTGATGCATTCTTTGCGTAGTGAAATAATAAATATAAGTTTTTTTGTCCTTATCCGACCAAATGTAATGAGATTCATTTAAATTTGTATTATCATTCATGAATTCAGTGTATTCCCATTTTCTCTTTTATCTATGCTATTCTACTTTCTTAAAATGGTGTTCCAACTTCCAGTCAATGAAATTTATTTTCTTATGTTCCCCAGTATTCTAATTTTGAGCGATCGAAAACTGTCTGAGGCAGTTTTTTGTAATCAAATAAAATGCAAAATTTCGTATTGATTTAAATGCCTTTTCTCGTATTCATAATTGTCTTCTTGCATTGTTATTTTTTGGTATTACATTGAGCGAACAACAAGTTTTAGATTGTAATTTATGATATGAACTTATTGGTTTGAAACTCTGTTTTGTATTTTTTGACTTTCAGCCGGTGGTGGTTAGTACGCACTAATTGTTATAATACTATTATTTCTTTAAAATCCTTTTATTTTTATTATGAATTATTATATTTCATTGTGTTTTATTCCTCTTCAAACTGAAAATTAATGTTCCCTGTAACAAATTTGCTGGAGAAATATGTCAAATAAGCGTTCTGGTACAAATATGCAGTATATTTGATAATTTACTACTGTACATCATTGTCTCTGCGGTATATATATATTCGATTTTCCTGTTTATTTTTTTTTATCAATTTCTCTGTTGTAATATATCCTGTTTTGTAAGGTCGAGATTGTGTGTCACCCTAGTCAATACCAAACAACTGAAGCACAAATTGTTTCATGCTTTGCTAGCTTCGATAGGTGGTTTTGGCAAAAATGTGGTTCTATTCATTTTCCGTTATGTAATGAAATTTCCATATATCAGTTTGCTTATGATATTTAATATAAGTTCCAAGTTTTTGCATTCCAATTATCAAGAATTTAAAGGTTAGTTTTTGGATATTTTATCTCAGCCTTTCAGGCTATATGTCAGCAATGAATTAGTTTATAATTATGTTCCTTACCTTTCAAATTTTCATATCGCCTTTTATCTGGAAAATATTTCAATGGACAATCAATTATCAAAAGATAAATATAGTTACATTCAAACTTTCAAAAAACTACCAGTTTTTTATTCTCGTTTTAGTTTTGTATTCACTTTTTAACCTCATCAATGTACCATGAGGACTGAGTGGTTACTACCAAGTTATAGTATACATGCATAGATATTATCGTGGCATAAGATTCGTTACATTGTTGAAAGAAGCCTTTCTATTTTTTCTGTGATTTTTCACTGTGCTTTTTGAAGATCAAATTTTACTACAGTTCTGTTTGTACGCTCTGCAATTATATATACTCCTATTCTGTAAGTCTATATTTAATGGTAAATCCATCACAAAAAAAAAAATTTCCGGATGCTGATATTAAAAACTATTTATATAATCAGAGTATATTGGATTGGAAAGAGTGTATTGGATTGTAGCGCTCAACTGATGGCATCTGTAACCTTTGACATCAATGTGCATCGAGATATAAGTATGGGTTCTAGCAGTTCAGTAGAGCTTGTTCTCTAACAATTTTTGATGTTCTGAAATCTTTTGTTAAACAGAAAAAATCGAAAACAAGATTTGAGCAAACAAATTAAAATACAGTGAAATTATATTATAGTGAAATTTTTCAGTTGATTTACCCTTGATATAGGTCATTATGTCGTTTTTTAGGACTTTTTAGGGCCAAAATTAAGGGTTGCAAGTTGAACACCGAACGGATGATACTTATTATAATAAAAATTAGCAGTGATACATCTCTCGAATAGAATAACGATTTATTCTCTCATTGCATTGCATCTCGAAAATTCCATTTGAATATTTTCGACGCCATTGAACCCTTTGCACTTGGCATCAACTTTTCTGCGTTTTGTTGCCATTTGTCTAATTATAATTAAATTTTAGGCTCCTTAAATGAATAATATACTTGTTAAGTGTCTCACAATAAATTCTGTTACATAAAGAATATAATCATCAAAACAGCTGATTTGTTACTATAATTCAATGGAGCGTCACGGACCGGATTATATTACTCTGGGGGCCGTAGGTTGCCGACCCCTGCCTTATAATAATAATATTTGATGTAATTCAATGCAGAAACATTCCATATACTAAGTTAATCATTCTTATGATATTTGTACCCTTTTGGACTTCATTGAAACGAGGTTCTATTCTAGGGTTTTGGCAATCATAATTCTCGGACTTTTCACTGGTAATATTCTAGGGTTTTGGCAATCATAATGCTCGGACTGTTCACTGGTAGAGATTAGTCATATTCAAGTCCTTGATATAAAGGTTGATTGCTTGCCTTTTTATATGGGAAAAACAGGAGCTTAGGAATATTGTCAATAAAATATGTCATGCCTGCTGGCGTGGGATTCTTTTACACTATGTGTTGAATGCTGTAGTTTTGTAATGGTGTTTAAAATGTACGGTTTTCAATACCACTATGTTGCGATTTTGGTGTTTATTGTTGTATATCATGGGCTATCTTTAATAAACTATGAGCTTTGCAACAGACACAGGATATGTTTTGTTACATAGAGATAATGCAATCTATTGGTTTGGTTCAGAAGTTAGTTTCATCTGGTCAAGTTGGTAAAAATCTCGATGGTTGCATCATTACGACCAAATTCATATGACAGAGTAGCCATCGCCATATTGGCGTTTGGGAGTGTCGACAGTCATGCGAACATCCGGCAGAACGGATGGCAGGAAATGGGAAATGCTCTGCCTTCCAGCTGTAATGGGTTTCTGACACTGTCACAGCCAGAATTTTCGAACAAGGTAAAACTTAACAATGAGTGAGTAGAATTCAACGGTGATTGAATTTCACAAACGTGATGCGAGCGAGTCCCTTTTTTATCAAATAAAAAATATTAATCACGGTTAATTTCCCAAGAAACAAGCAATGCGATAATTAGCATAATATGTTCCAAATCTCTGCTTTATGATAGCAAATTCAAGATAACGTTCATTGTTCAGGAAATTAGGCTCAATATTTCCATCTGCGCGGCGGATTAGAAAGCGTCGCGAACGAACGAATCCATTGTTTGAAAATTACGCTCGAGGATTTGCGCGGGAACTAACAAGCGGGTTTTCATTGAAATCTAACGCGCCCTCCTATTGGCTGTTTAGAGCATGACGTACTTGCGTATAAATTTGCGCATAGTGAAGTCAGGTGACCATTCTGTGCAACGTCAGACAAAGTCGCTTCTCTGTTCCGTACTCTGAAGAAAGAAACCTAAAATGGTGAGTAGCGATTTATATCCAGGATATTTTATTGGTTTTTGACACGATCCAGTGGGAAACCCACCATAAATAGTCGCAAAATAACTTGGTAGATGCTTGTATAAGCTTAATTTTGATCAAAGGTACCGTATAGCGTAGACATTTCAAAAACCATTTTGTGATTTTTATATCGATTTTGCCGGTGGGCGTTCTTACTATGTATAACTGCGCAGTCAGTTCCCACTTGGTTTATTCATTTGCGCGGTAGCGGTTTTGCATTTTCAGCAAAATCGTTCGGTCTTGTTTCATTTTGTGCAAACTAGACTCAAATACGGATCGTTCTCCGAAAATTTGTCCGCTAGGACTTACTTTATAAAAAAAAAATTTTGTTTGTTACATTAGGCTGGAGGCAAAGCTGGCAAAGACTCTGGAAAGGCAAAAGCCAAGGCAATTTCTCGATCTGCACGGGCTGGACTTCAGGTAATAATTGTGAATTTCCTATTTGTATTCAATTTTTTGTCACAAAACCTAAAATAAGTTTGGTCCTCTTTTTTTGTTGTTGCAAATGATGCCTCTTCAAAGCTCTATGATTTTCTGTGAATGTAAAATTGTATTCATACTCTGATGCAACAACCAACTTGTAAATATTCTGCTTTGGCAGTTTCACCCGCATATTGAAACTTAAGTTTTCTAATGTTGACAAATTAAATTAACAATCAAATTGTTTTTAGTTCCCCGTTGGCCGTATTCACAGGCATTTGAAGAGCCGATCAACTTCTCATGGACGTGTTGGTGCAACTGCTGCAGTTTACAGTGCAGCTATCCTAGAATACCTCACTGCTGAAGTGAGTAATGATGCACTTTTATAATGGGTCTGGCAGTCTAGAAGTAAAACAACATTTTGACATTAAATAATGACTACCATACTTCTGTACTTCATTTATTCCAAGATTTTTTAATGACATACGTAACTATGTGAATAACATTATTTTCATTGAATTTCAAGGTTTTGGAGTTGGCGGGAAATGCCAGCAAAGATCTTAAAGTAAAAAGAATCACACCTCGTCACTTGCAACTTGCTATCAGAGGAGATGAAGAATTGGATTCTCTCATCAAGGCTACCATTGCTGGTGGTGGTGTCATTCCACATATCCACAAGTCTCTCATCGGCAAAAAAGGCCAACAGAAGGCTCCATAAACAGTTTGAACATTGAAGCAAACTAGAAAACCTATTTGGGATGCAGTCTCAGAACCTCAATGTCAAAGAAAGAATTTAGAATTGTTTCAGTTGGATAAACATTGTTTTGATTTGCTTGAATACAACTTTGAATTTAGTATAAATTTGACCATTGGCCATTCCAAACAATGTTTTCTACATTGTATTTCACTGCCTCCCAAGGAAGTGCCGTTGTTTTGTTTTCTAGCTGATTATTTTTTATTGTATACCCTTTTTATATTAGTCTTGTCAATATACCAGGTTGATTTTTAAGCTTGTGTCCTCATTTTAAAAAATTTTGTGCTAGAGTTGTAAGGGATTGGTAGGAAATGAATTGAATATAAAAGATATGACTTACTAGGGTATGAATTTGATCATGTTATATTGTTGCCCAATTGTGGGTTAGCATGCTTTTAACATTAAAACAATTTTTAATGGAGATTGGTCTGGTACTATTTGGTTATATGGCTTCGGTAGCATATCAATAGAACCAAGGAGGGTTAAGGGTTATGGAAGTCACTTATTGAGAGGGGTTAATCATTTTAACAATGTGAACTAGCTAACAACCAGATAGTTATTTTGGGCGAGTCTATAGTGTAACTAAAAAAAAAATCCTGCAAAATATGATTTACCATGTCAATTGATGCTGGATTGAAAAATTAAATTAGCTTGTGGTAAACAGGATGTATTCATGCCTAGGTTAATGTTATCAAAATAGTGCTCTATCATGCCAAGGTTAATGTTATCAAAATAGTGCCAGATCATGGTTTGATTTTTACAATAGAATTGGTTCAACTTGAAGTGGAAGTTTCAATCCAATCTTGGTGGTAGTGTGACTCGTATTTATGCATTTAGCTGTTGCTTACAAAGCAGCAGCACTTGAGGCCGGATTAAATATTTGCTTGGGTGAGGCCTTATCTCCAGACCTATATGACGTCAGGCTTGTGGATCTGCATCTGTCTATATCAGATTTCCGCCTCGCCTGGATATTTATTTGAAAAAGCATACATGATTCTTAAATGCCATCTGCAGTGAAGGAGGGATAGAGTACTAAATAGTACGTCTGTTAGGGTATAGTACTACTAGGGTATTGTGTACTAAACTTCAAGTCCTTTCTCCTTGTTTACTTCCTACTTTGGATCCGTATGTGTTAGTTGCCACTAGGATGCTTAACAAGATTATAAAGATAACTAAGAATAACATAATCTCCTTCCACTGAATAGCAAGTATATTTGTGAACATTCGTCAGATTAAAGTCTATTAGGAAGTAGTAGGAAATTCTCTAACAATGAATATTAATTCTATAATTGAGTCGCAAATGCGGCAGTGCCTTAATTGCAGTGGTGGGCAATGAACAACCAGTATGGCTTTATTGAAAAACTGGATGCGTATTGTGAAATTTGCTCATCGGTTTCTAAAATTTGATGTCACTAAAATAAAGTATCTTGAACATCACATCCTACGAGTAAACAAAACTATCTACCAAGAGAGAAACTTCTTCATAAACAAAAGAAAATCTACCCTTCTAATTCATCTAATTGCCTCAATCATTCAGAGAATTCACTTTCAAGAAAACCATGAAATATAATGTAATTTTATTAAGTAGCTTACACAGCATCGATAGCTTGGGGCATACAACATACTATTTTCATACAATGCATTACAACAAAAACATCAAATTGCAGTACTTTACTAAATACACATATTAATTAAGATAAAAGCTTGTAACATTTGAAATACATGAGAAACATCTCAACTAATGTTAAATTTTCGTGTTAAATAATTCTACCAAGTCTATCAATATACAATACTCAATATTATGTACAACAGCACAGGTTTATGTCAACAGAGACAAAAAATTAGGCAAATTGTTTCACAATTAGTAAGAAATCAACTGTATTGTACGAATTTGAATCGCACCATATTATGTTCTCTAATGCTGTCCATATAACAGGATGAGATTCATCATCTTATTGTTGTCCACTATTCCACAGAAGTAAAAAGTGAATTTAAAGGAGAAAAACCATTACGTTATAGGCACATTTAAAAGGTATCATGGCATCCTATTTTTGCATTATGACATTGTTGTTCTGTTTGCTACTTCAATGGAGTCCCAAATAAAGCGATATATGCATTTCTCAATCTCTGATTTTGAGATTTCCCATAAAAGCATTATTGAACGAAGAAAGACAAAAAATAGTAATACCCATATATGCCAAATTGTTCCCCTTTATCTTAACTTGTTAGACATTAAACAAGATCATAATGCTTGATAGGTTAAAAACAGAAAGGCTGAAAAACGCTCAAAAATGTGCCTCCGAAATTTGTTGACGAATAAATAATACGCAGAAAAATTTTGAACTCATAGTAACAGAACTTTAATCGTATTGTCTTTCAAAAAACTGTCGAGTCGAATTATTTTCTGACAGTGGGAGAGGAAGCACTAAAATCACTCATTACACATTGAAATCAAATTTATACAACAACAAAAATTTATGAATTGAGAATGTCCACAAAAAGAATGAGCAAATTTATTATGTTGTACCAAAATTACACCAGACCATGATGGACATGAACCACCACTGATTTGCTCATATTGAAATTATTTCATGTGAATCATTGAATTCATATGAAAAGAATAATCTACATACCAAAACAATAAAGTTTATCTTTTTCTTAAATGCAGTTTCAAACTTAGTAATATAATTGAAGCAATCAAAATGCTAAACAGAAATACAGGTTTTATACATATATATATTGAACCTACTATACAACAGACATATACCTTTTTGATGTCAATAAAATGGCTGATGACACATCTATTGCACATGTACAATTATTCCAACCTAACAGAGATCAGTTGGTATCTATCTGCATTATTCTAAACTATATGATTATGTTTAAGTGTTAATGTTGTTACCTTTTTTTCCAAATATTATCCTAGTAAAGCAGATGCCAATTCAAAAAGAGCACACATACTAAAGTAACTCTTCAGATTCAATGGGATAGGTTATTGAAAAGTAAGAGATGTCCAAAACCATTCAAACTAAATATCTTGTAGACTCGTAAAACTACAGTACTTTGTTTGGTCTGGTGTTATTAGTAACTTAAATACAACAGCCTCTAAAATACTTGAGAATGGTGATAAAATAAATAAGCCAAAACTGTAATCACCGTTTTCCATATGATGGATTCCATCTATATATTGGATGAAAAAATTATGATTCAGAATGACAGACAAATCATGCTCTACGTACATTTTACTGTGAAAACTTGCACCCATTATATCACCTAGAAGCATTATAAATGAACATTTGGAGCAGATACATTGAGCCCTGTGTTTGTGGGTAGTTGGAACTACAATTAATACATTTCATGGTTAAATTTAGAACTAGTATATTTGCTTAATAGAGTATCAAAATCTGTATTTTGATTATTAGCTCCCTTATCCAGTCTTTAATACCTTCCTTATAATTTTTTATGAACCATAATTACTTGCTCCCGAAATTTTTTTTGTACATTTGCAATAACTATTACGCAACCATTGGAAATATTACAAAAATGAAATTAGTTTGAGATCGCTGATGTTGCAACGTGTGTAGGCCAACAGAGGCTCACCATACTTGGTAATCATTTATTTGTCAAGATTATTTTTATTCGAAGCAAAAATCTGATCAAAATAATTTGATTTAAATCAAATAGTAAAGTTTGATAACAAATACATTAGGAAGTAAAATAACTTTTGTTCCATCAAAAATAGAAGGGAATAGTACATTTAATTTTAAACAGCCCCCACATAGCAACCAAATAAGTTAAGAATTAAAATACTACATCGATAAATTTTTTCAGTCATCTATATCCCATTGAGAGTTCTGTTATTTTTTCACGAGGTGTTGCTGAACATGTTGTAGGAATTCTTGCAATGACATAGAAGATTCAGTTTTGTCTTGTCTCATGTGTAGCATGAAGTAATAATGTTCTCGACTGTCCGCTCTAGAAAAAAATAAATAAAAAGTGTGGTCTCCTGTGGACATACGTACTTATCAGTTTTCTTTTCTTGCTCGAAAAGTAGACTGAGATATACAGTGAGAAAAGATAAAGGATCTGTCCAGTGTTATATCAAGGATTGAGCCAGAGTCGAGTCGTTTGGTTCAAGCTGGAGCCAAACTTACCTTATTAAACGGAGCTGAAACTGCCAGAAATTTTAGTGGCTCCAGCTCCAAACATCTACTTGTTTTTCACATGTATAATTTCCTAATACTTTATATAAATAAGAAAACATACAAGAATTATAATTTTTTTTTTAGATATTATGTGTAAAGTTTAATTTTGAAATCTTATACCATGATTCAGAGTGAATATACTTATATATAAACATTAATATAGATGCCACCTATCGTTAAGAGTTGACATCTCTATTGTAGATAATAGTAATAAGTACAACATAATAAAGACAAGATTACCTTACAACTTGCATAGGTGCATAATGCGGTCGCTGATCTTGCAACCATTCCAAGAAGTTATGAAAAGTCTCTGACATTGGATTGTCCAAATCCGGCAGTGAATACTGGTAAAAGCAGTATACATAAAGTTAGCAAGACAAAAACACTGGCTATCAAAATTTAAATACGAGTGGTATTTGTGATATTATGTTGAAAGTATCAGGAGTCGAATTGGGATGCTTTTCCACCTTACTAACCAATCATTATTTTGTGTCTACAATCTTTAAGTAATTATCGTTTTTTCAACAAAATTTTGCTCAAAACAAGGTCATGTGCGTCAGCTTGTAAATGAGGAAGATAATCACTGTCATGGTGACTACAGAAAGAATCTACTGATATTACATAGAATTTAGTCGATTGTGCGAGAATTGAATTATCACAGCTGATGTTAAATTGCTATTCACTGAAAGAACTTTATTGTCAGCATAAAATCTTGAAGTAGGAGAAAACACTTTTTCTTTTTCCAGTCCAGAAAGCCATAATGATAATGTGACAATGCCTGGCTGTGTGTTTCAAAATTGTGAGTGCTTTTTCATATAGACTAATCAGTAGTGTGACAAGGAGCATGGTTTTCTAACATTCAGCCATATAAGAGATTTTACAAATATGATGCTTTATATAGGCATAATAATTATCAATGACAATCCATCCTACTTGTCATTACATTTTCAAGTTTTTATGCACTCATTGGCAATTCACATACACAGCATTATCAACAAAACTAAAGTACAGCAATGTGATGTAAATTGTATCTCAGAGTGAGCACACATACCATTGGTTGTTCTATATCACTGAATTGTTTCACTCCGAGCACATTTTGCAAAAATTCTCTGTTTGCAGTCGGACCGACATGTAAGTACATGTGCCAACCGGCATCAAGTAAATATACTCCATCACGATTAATAGATTCAGCAGACAACGGCAGTATCTGAGGTTGCGGAACAATTCTTTCATCAATGTCCAATCCATCCTGTTGTAATTTATATTATTAAATGAAGTTTTATCCTTTTTAGAACTGGATAGTGTAAGAATAAAGCCTGTCACTGAAATACTGTTCAGTTAATGGAGAGGGGTGTAATTAATTATGTTGGCGAGGCTTGCAAAATGGTCTTTCAATTAAGACTTTAAAGCGTATACCTAAAAGATATATCTTCCCATTCCCAAAAAGTTTAATCAAAGAATTTACTGGAAAACTGAAAGTTTGAAGTTATGAGGGAATTATTGTTCCCAATACATTCTGAAAAATCAAAAATATTATGTTCGAATACAAAATATCCTAAATGAGTTATTTTCAACAAAGGCACATAACGAACATGTATAGCCGAAGAGTTTGAATTTAAAAGTGCAGGAAAGTTGCATATAGACCAGTGGTTCTTGAACTTTTTTGAGCGCGACCCAAATCTGAGTTTCACGAATACTCGCGACCCAATCCTAAATAACGCAAAATGTGTTTTTAATGTTAGTACAGTTTGACTCAAATACAGACAACTATTTATTAGAAACAGTCCATTGACTCAGTGAGATTGATGAAACTGAAATTTTCTTTTCATTATATATTCAATACACAGCTCTATTTTACTGAGCGCAATACGCAAGTTGTCACGGGAATCGATGCGATTGCGAGCTTAGTTTTAATAACCGTCAGTGCCAAAAATCCTCGCTCGAACAAGTGCCTTGTCGCGAATTGTAGCAGAAACCTTGTCCGCTGTCCGTCGCAAACACGACATCCTAGCTGGCTTTTGATATCTCTCGCAATATACAACTTTTTACTCATCAAATGTGCACACACTGCTTCGTTCGCGGTAAATGGTGACTCGAGATGAAGTCACATTTTCTCTAGATATTGAATAATTTAATGTTGAGATGCGAGCTTTTTCATTGCTTCATCTATTACAATTTACATTACCAAAAAGACACCCGTTTTTAGTTATTTTAATCCACTAAGACGACATTCCGCGAGGTCAACACAAGGACAAGCGACGTGCATGGTTACCGATGCCATAAAATAATACACGTGACTGGCATATTAGAATTGTGATGTAACAATGAGCTCAAGACAGTTCTTTCCGTGAATGAAACTTCATATTCCATTATTTTCAAACACCAGAGTTTAGAAGCTAAATTGAAACATTGGGAAAGCTGAAAATTCGTCCTTCTCCTCTTAGATTGCCTTGCATTGACGACCTTGTCGCGACCCACTTTTAAACCTTCCGTGATCCATGTTTGGGTCGCCACCCATACTTTAAGAACCACTGATATAGACAGTGATCAAATAACGGCATTTCTGGCCATGATGTAAAATCTTGAATGCCCAAAATGGTAATTTTTCTAGAATATAATCTCTCACCTCATCTGAAAGATCATCAACTCTATATAAGTCAGGATGAATGGATTGCAATGCAAAACAAGTAGGTTGCATTTTCAAATCAATCATAGAAAATACTCGATCATCGAGACGTGTGGAAACACCAGAACGGAAAGCCGGCTGAATGAAAATAAATAATATTTTATTCTGCTAACTTAATAAAACCCAATAAAACAGCTGGTAATCTAGTCACGGCAACATTTTTCTTTTGAAAAAAGTCATTCCATTAGCAGTAACACATTTTCAGAAGATAAGTAATTCAAAATCAAATACCACAGTCCACATCCAATATAAACAAGATATCATACTTCACAAATAAATAATAACACAAATAAAACTTACATGTTTCATCAAGCAGCTTATCATAAGAGGAAAGGTCTTCATACAAGGTGGAACAAGTAGAGAATTATCAACAGAACCTGGACTGATAGTTTCTTTATAAGCTTTCGATGCATCAATAACTGCATTTATTAATGCATCCCTTGCATCTGATATCTTGGATGTTATACTTCGATCAACAGCTGTTTGAAAATTTTGAAACACAGAATAATTATTGTATGATTTTAAAAGCTTGGCAATCTAAATAAATCGTATTGGTAACGGTAAGTGTAGACTGGATTTAAGATATGTGAAATGAAGGCAAATGAACAAGGATGTCCTACAAATGTAATTGAAAAAATTAAATTGAAGATATTCTGAAAATTTGTTCTCAAAGATTCCAATTAACCAGTTCATAAAACAAACATTACCGATTTTTATACACAGGTATAATAAAATTAAATTTAAATGAGATAGGATTTCAATAAAACAAGATCTTTAGAAAATAGAATATATAGGATATTTGAAAGTGGAATGAATTGTAAACTGTTTTTCAGTCCTTCCTAAAAAGACTATTTCAAACTGAGTTGGCTTTATGTTTACTGAGTCCTTGAATTAATTGTTTGATTGTGGCCAGCGAGTATTAATATATTATTCTCAGACCTGATCTTATTCTAATATTTTTTTTATCAGTGTCTTTATATTAAAACGAAAAACTTGAACTGGCAAAAGACAATCTTCAATTAATCACATGCACTGCAAAACCAATATTAAGCACTCACCCATTTTTGATAAAAGTGAAACAACAGCATCAGAATCTACATTGTTAAATATTTCACCCATATGTTTGGCAACAGGAAAGCACATTGTGTGGACACGAATCCTTCTTTCACCCTAAACAAAAATAATAGGTAATTATGACCTCTATAAATGAAAACACAATCAAAATAGAAGTGACAACTCAGGGCTGAGGAAAATCCTGAAAATCTATTTGCAATGAAGTCTATCATGGATTTGAGATCTTTCACAAGATATTTTCACACAATCACATTGTACAAGGCTATGTAAAAGTCGCGATTGATAAGTAAGGGGTACTTTGGAGAACCAGAATTAATTTCATATATTTCAATTATATCATGAATGATGTATCATTGGTTTTTCTTTCTTTGCAGATAGGTCTGATGGCCTAGCGGTTACAGCATTAGACCTAATTATGACGACATCATAGTTAAAATCTTAGGTCCAAATCCCATGTCAAGCACCTCACCCAGGGTGTAGGCAATGTCCAACGGGGGAGGCAATGCCAAAATAAAGAGCTCCTTACAAATTAGTGGGTGATTGTGCAGAGCGTCGTTTGAGAGTATAAATACCAGGGTCTTACAAATTAGTGGGTGATTGTGCAGAGCGTCCTTTGGGAGTATAAATACCAGGGTGTCAGCCCTGGATTTATCCGGAATCGAAAACCTGGGTAGCTTTTGGAGCCTTTTTTTTTTATTAATATATAACAAGAAAAAAGGCATTTTTGGGAGAAAATGATACCCTGGTTTGAGGATATGAAAACCCGAAACCTGGCTTTCAAAATAATAGACCCAAATCGGAAACTTTAATGCAGGGGTTCCCAGACCGCGGCCCAAATCCGTGGCCAATGAAGTTTGGGAGCCCCTTCTTTAATGAATACGAGATATAAAAAGACACAAAATAGCATTTTGCTCTTACTAAATCTTACCTTACTAGAAGTATACAACAATGCAGCTTGCACACAAACTGATGATAAATCTGTTAAGCTTTCTTCTATGCTTAAATTTAAACCAAATCCAGCATCTGGATTGATATTTGCAAGTGCAAGTAGATCGGTTGACCGTACAAAGAAATTTCCATGAAAAGTGTGGATTGCAATTCCTGGAATAAAGAAGACAATAAATTTAAACAAGCATTCACATGAAATTACAGTTTAACAATGACAACCAAAAGTGAACAGTCCCATTTTCTCAAAACAGTGGTTCCGGAGCATATTTGATACCTATTTTAAGTTTTCTACTATGCATAAAACTGTTATCCTTTGTGGATCAGCAGCCAGTGATATGTTCAACTTGCACTCTGGGTTTTGTACTATTTGAATAGTTTATAATCTGTGCATTATTATATATTAGAATGATATAGAAAAGTGAAGAACAATAGTATTATCACACAGAAATACAATGTAACGTTTCCTTCCTTAATACAATTTCCCCTATGAGCTCGAATCTTCCCTATTCGGAACACTCTCTAAACTGCTGTTATATATAACTTATATAATTGTTATTCGCCAATAACATTGTATAATGGGCACTAATTTAACGACAGCGACCCCCTTTTAAACTCACATAAAATGCATATTTATTATGTAAATTTCATAAACAATGCACTGCACATACCTTTGGTGCACCTTATTCTCATGACAGCTTCAAAACCAATTTTCCTTGTTAAATAACGATCCAAGTCTCGAGATAAACGTTCAATTTGTACAGGATTATGAGTCGCATGTAAACCAGGATAATAATGCAGATCGCCGGCAGAAAAACGAGAAGTACATGCTGAAAATATAACATTAACAAATAGTAAGATAGAAAATATAATATGGCTTGACTGATAGAAAAAGCATGAGGCATTCGAAAACTTCATTACAGGAGCATATTCATAGATCCAAAATTGTCTTCTGTTAATTCACTGATTTGCTTTGCTAATTACAGATAGTAACAAGGTGACTCAAAAAACAGAATTCAGGTCATTTGGATAGTATTATAGACAAAACATAACTTTTACGCATAGCGGTCTAGATTACTGAAACTTTAGGGTACAAATATACACAAACAGAAGTTCCAAGTGTAAAATGAATTTTCCTCATTTCCATAGAATTAGGAAATGTACGGGTTCTGTTTTTATGGGTCACCATGTTTCTTGCTATCTTTGTACCGCAAAAAATTTTATCATTTTGTTCACTGAATTACTGATATTCCTAGAAAACATTATTTCAATCAGATTGAAGATCAGGCACTTTCTGTACAGTCTTACTGATTCGAAACGCCATGAGTATCAACTGCGAAAGTGCTAAAGGTGCTTCAATAAATTGCAGAATTCCAGTGGTATTGAATCTCAGTGGTCATTTTGATATTTTATTTTAGACAGGCGCTACAGTAAACTTGGAAAAAATAATCCTTTTTCTATATATTGTAAATAAAAAACAATCTTACATAAAGTTGCAATGTCAATGTATTGAGAATTCATAAAAAAGAAATCAATTGCGACTTGATGAGCTGAACTATCCAAAGCAAGTTTTTTGTAAAAATCAGTCGATGGATTCAGACAATCTGTTGCAGTATCTCCAGCTCTAGAATTTGGATTTTCTCGAGGTTTCAAAGCTCCTGGGCCTGTTGTAGGCATGGACTGTTGAAATACGGTGATACGCCCGCCAAAAGCAGCCTGAAGAGGAAGAATATTTGAAAAAAATTGTCAGGACTCAACGGGTGTCGCATCTTGATAAGAATTATTGATTAGTAATGGTTCTCTAATACCCTGCGTGGGTTCTCATGTTCAAATTCCGCGGACGGTAGTTATATATGATAGGATTGCTGTACTACTTGCCGTCACGGTGGTCAGTTATGGCTTCCTCAAAAATCCATACGTCTGAAATGAATAACTGGTGAAATAATCCCATACTGACATAGACCTAAATGTTGGCTTATCAATAGGTAACTGTTTGAATATAGAGCCCTGTCCCGAGAAAATATTAAGAATGTGGTAAATAATCCTATTTTCAGAGCAAAAAGACGTATAAAAACCCCAAATCAAAAGTACAAAAATTAGTACATTCAAACCAAAATACCAACCATCATTTTCTGTGCAGCTTGTAGAGCGGATCCAAGTGCACTTTGAGTTTCAACTTCTCCGCGAGATAAATTATCAGGTGGTTCATGTAGCTCGGGTAATTGACGCAACAAATCACTAACAAGTTCTTTTCCTTCTCGTAAATTAACAAGAAGAGAATCCGGCGTTGGCAAAAATATATCTGAACAAAATAAAAGGATTCAATGTAAAAGGAAAACATATGTCATCATTTTCTGGAATGCAATTTCTAAATTACTATGACTAAGCAAAGTGTTTTACAAATATTACTTTATGATGGCTGGGCCAACTGACCAGACAACTCTTTCACAGATTCACACAATGGATATCAGCACTTACCATCAAGATCAGAAACAACAAGCATTTGTGGTTGCGATGATCCCTCTGCCAACCTGTAGAAATGCACTGTTCCATTGTAAGAAAGAAAACCTATTTTAGTTCTCGAGTCTCCAGGTAAGTGATCAAGATGATCCAACAAAGCCTGTAAAAACAAAACAAAATTAAAGAGTTCATTTAATAATGAGCATGAAAAGGTACATGAACTACAGTTGGACAGCACATTGAAGATAAGCTATTCTAAATCTTGCCATTCAGGGAAGTCATCAAAATCTTAAATGAGGATAAGACTTACATATTTAACACGGAGGAGAGGAAAGTCGGAAAGTCGATAAGACGGCTTAATCATTTAGTGAACAACGGCCTCTATTCCGGTTACCAGTTCATATCGGGCATGGGATTAGTTAGCCAGTTATTTGTTTTCAGAAGCATGGACAAGATGGTGGATGAAGCCGTAACCAGGCAGCGGTTACGGAATCACTCTACGACAATGAGGAGTCTAGCAATACTTTTTAATTTTCCCCCTGCATGAGATTCGAACTTGCGAACCCATGCAGGAAAATCATAGGTATGATGGCGAGCGTATTGCTAACACCACATCATCGAGCCAACGAGATTTAGGCATGCTATAAATATGACATGGCGAAATTCACCTTGTGACATAGAATATGATAGAAATAACACAAGATAAGCTCTTTAATCGGGCTTCAAGCTGGTAGGCTTCATGCGCACAGGTAATATACTTATAGACAATGGAAATATAAACAAAATGATGAACATTGACACATATTAGCTCATGCATTCTAGTTTATATATTGTTCTTAAAATCAAACTAATATATCACATGAGTCGTGTATAAATTTTTGGCTTGAACATTTGCACATTATTACTATACTTTATGATTGCAAATACTCACATCACAGACAACTTGCAAATATCCAGTTTCAACAGCAGAGTGAGATACATCAAAGAGAAACATGTATACCGCAGGTTGTGGTGGCCGAACCATATATTCTTGAGGAGCTGAACAACATAAAAACAAATTGCAGTAAAATCATTTTGTATTTATTAAAAAAAGGGTTCGAAGCTTATGAAAATTAAAATAGAGACAGGATGTATGATTCAAGAAGTGGTAGTACCCCCAACATTCCTTGGCTTAGGCCAGGTTATTCAAGATAATTTGTAATAAGCTTACTTTCAAAGTTTGGTTTATTACTAACAACTTTAAAAAAACGAAATTGGATAACTCTATTGGATTGACACATCTGCAAAGTGCAGAGAAATTTTCATACAATCCATGATAAAAGATGAAATATTGTACATTACATTGGAATAACATTGAACAAGAACAAAAATTCAAAAGTTCTTATGAATAGTGTATGACGTTGACGTATATAAACAATTTGAAAAAAATTGAATTTGTTTCGACACAGTGAATGACAATTCAATACCTCAAACAACATTGCAGATAAAAAGATCCCAATGATAAGTCAACAATGAAATATATTAAATTAATGTAATGTATGTGATGTTCTGTTCTTTTTTACAAATTCTTCTGTGTACAGAACAGCTTTTTGTCAATAATGTTATTGAAATCTGTACTGAGAAACCCTAGCTTTGGGCAAGATTCCAATGAGAATTAAAGGAATAGTAAGCTCATTCAATGGCCTTACCAATAAATTCCAAAGTTGCATTAGTGCATTCCGGTCTAGTATGGGGTTCACCATAAGTTTTCGTGACTGGATGATGTAGAAATTCTTCAGGTACTTCGTTAACAACAAAACATAGATTGCATCTCCACCTTCTTTCATCCAAAAAATTTACAAACGGATTGATGTAGGTTCGACATCTTTTGCAACGTACAATAGTTCCTGTGAAACAAGACACAAATTCACATAGTGAATCCTCAAGGCAGACCAACTAACCCTGATTTTTTAATAGAACAGCTAAAATGATGCAAAGTTCACCGACATATAAACTTGGATGTTAGAAATAAGCAACACTCAAATTTATCTAATAACGGTCTGGTACATGAGAAGTTAATATTTTCCTATGGACTGGGGTCTGGACCGGTCGATCTATTTTCCACGAGGTTAGGTGTTAGGGGAACTTCAATAGTCCAGTCCAATATATAAACACCAATTTCATCACCTCCCCACAATTAGAAAATTTTAGAATTTAGATTGCAATAATCTCATTTGAAAAATCTGCACTATTTCACTGATATCACAGCCCTTGTTGGAAATTACTAATAATTCTGACGATCGAAAACAAACTCCAGAATCTATTTGGATCTTGTCATCCCGAAATAGTATTCTGAAGTAGCCCACATTTCTGATTTGAAACCCTTCAGATATATCAAATAGAATGAAAAATTGATACATACTCAAAGAGCACCAAATTTATTGTTTGATGATTATTTCCCAATGCTTTCTCCCAATTCATTTACACAATGCTTGTTAACATATTCCCAAAAATTGTGACACAAGAAAAATTCGTTTCCTTTTAAATACACAGCCAAAATTTTAGATCAATTTTCATCAGACTAAAATAATTTTGGGTTTTAATACTATATCAGAAAATTAGAAAATTATACAATGAAAGACTAGACACGGATATCTATGTATTCAACCATTAAAACCGTAAACCATACAGTACGTGTTAATGAACGATTGTTATTGCTTCATTGCTGTGTTTATTGAAATTGAACAAATTTAGTTCCCATTACCTGCTGATATTACAGGTAGTGAGCTGAGATCTTTGAATGGATGAATGATTAGGCCGAGAGGTAACTTAACCTTGTTCAAAAGTGCTTGTGTGCTTGGAATTGCATTGAGTGTGCATCGGAAAACACTGAAAAAATGGAAATTTCAAAATAAAAAAAGGTTATGATCAGTAGAATCAAGGACTTCAATCTGAAACAAAGTCTAAATTATTGCCAAAAAAAGATCAATTTTACGACAACTGAAATTACCCTTCTTTTACAAAATTCACTATTTGTACTATAAGTTTTCTGTAAAACAGATTCCTAAAGATGTTCAACATAGAATGATAGAATTTTAGAATACCAAACTATTAATATATCAAGATCCCTGTATAAAATTTCTTCAAATGCCGGATACTTTCTGTAAGAAGCACACAGTAATGGCATAATTGTTTATATGTGTTGTTGTTATATGCCTTCAATTTACCAACAAAAATATTCAATTTTAAAATCACTAATGCTTTGCAAATTTTTGGTCAATTTCTTATTTAAATATAAATGTGCTTGCTTCTTAAATAAATTTGCAGTAATGTTTGGTTGTCAATTTAGTTCTGTGGAATTCCGCTGATGGATCTGTATGCACATAATGCAAAAAAATGATGCGAACATTGAAGATAACTATCCTATGTGATTAAAGAGTCTTACACAAATGTATTTTTATGTTTCGTCTGACCAAACTTCCTTCCTGTCAAACTTCTCCAGACAAACAGTTCATAGAAATAGTATGTTTGTTTTAGAAAGTTCAACTTCGGTTAAAGAAACATCATAGAAATACATTTGTGTTGGCATGTCGCAGAACTTTTAAATCACTTATACACGATAAAGATGGTCACATTTTGACATCGCATTTTTTTAATTACTGATAGATCACAATTTTTGAAGTGAGGTAGGTGGTCAAAAAATAACATAATACTTGAACCGCAAATAGCTAGGGTCAAATAAGTTTGGTTATGGACACACCGTTGTACTACAAGCAATAAACTAATATGTCACAAGATGCAGTTTGGAAAGCAGTACTCTATAACAGGAGGTAACTTACTCCGTGTTGCAGTTCTTTTGTTTTGGTGGTATTAAACCCCTGTCACCTGGACCTGCTTCAAATTGTAGTGGCTTCTGTTGATGCTTTTTCAAAGGTAACAGTCGTCTCTCCTGCCAAAACAAATATATAAATTTAATACATACTGTATGTCAAAAATAAGTGAGACCCAGCATAAGACAGGCATAAGTGAACACAAATATTTTCTTACCGAAACAACATTGTGGTCTACTTAGATTTTATTCACTTTTTTGACATACAGTAAATAGTTAGCCTGGCATGACATTCTAAATCAGTGGTTTACAACCCAAAAGCTAAGTCCGGAATTCCAAAAGTTTACATTCGAATTCCAGTACCTATATTGTTATTTGTTCATTGGTTGAAGATATCAAACACATATCAGTTTTTGCTATTATCATTAAACTTGCTAAACTTCAAAGACCATTTTGTTAATATTAGGTTGGTTTATATAACTAAGTAGAGTGTAAACAATTTTATTTCACTTTATCAATCAAAAGTTTTTTGCAAAAGACAATCGAACTAGGTACAGAGGTTCCTCTGGAATGTTTTATTGGGGTTCCACTCTAACAAAAAGTTTGAAAACCACTTCTTTATCAAACATATAACTGCATATATATAAGATGCTACAATTTGAATAATATATCATCTTCAGCTCCATTCACACAACATCATACATAATAGACTAAAATATTGAAAATTTCATATAACCAACATCAGGAAAAAACATGACCAAATTTTAGACTCACCATAGAAGACAGAGTTTAAGTGGCATTATTTTTAAAATGTTTTAATGGAAAGAGATCGCTAGAGTAATCGTGATGATAAAGAGATGTGACAAGTCATTGTTAGAATCTTTACTGTCGATTATAGGACGTATAAGTAATATACCAAGAATAGTATTTGAGTATTTTTACACATATCGCTTGATTTTGATTAACAAAGAACTTGTTCTGAATGTGGTGCCAAATCATATAATTAAGTGCCAAAAGTGAACAAATTAAGTTTATTCATTAAAAATACCCAAAATTGACAAATTAGATAACATCCATTACTGAAGGCAAAGTTTTAGACTAAATTGTTGGGTCAAACTTTACGTAGTATGATAAATGAGACGTGTTTCCTACCATCATAATATTGATAGGCCGATGTTTGTCATCAATTCCCATATTACTCATACCATGCGTAATACCAGATGCCGAAGAGAAAGGATATTGTCCTGGACCTGGAACACTTGGTGGCATTCCTGCTCCTGTGTACACAAATAAAACATAAATTAAACTTTGGACTTTAAATCCAAAAAGTTCAATAAGATTGCTAAATAGTCGAGGTTCAATAAGCTTGCTTGCATGTGTTGCATATATAAAAAGAATGGGAAAAGAGTATTATTAGTAATTTTATTAGATTTTTTTTTCACCTAAGTTCATAGGTTTTAATTTTTTTTTTTAGATGCCAAAATTCAAGACATTAGAAGTCTTGAAGCGGAAGCGGAAGTGTTTTCCGCTTCAAATCATAGAATACATCGTCTTCTTTTATTTCATTTTATCTTAGTGATTTAATTACCGGTAATATAATTTCAAAGCTGAAATATTAAGACAAATGATGAAATCATCATTTTCAATGAACAGGAAAGCAAGCAAAATAAGACCAAAGATTCTGATAAATTATTATTTATTATAATAAATACCATACCTGGAACAGGGGGAAGCAGTTGGGGTTGATGTGGTTGATGATGTTGCCCAGGATGGTGCATTTGTCTTGGAATTTGTTCACTCGTTGGAGGCGGCAGCTGAAGAAAATAGACAATATATCTTTGCTCATAGAAAGAACGGTATACCAAATCACAAAACCAAGAGTGATGCATCAATTATTTTTATTCACACTGACTTGAGAGTATAGAGCCTGACCTACTTTGCATAACACTTGACATTTTTATTACTGCATAATGTCCAAAATGAAATGTCAATATTTATTAGAATATGATCTTCAGAAATTTGAAGTTATTTAGGAATATTTAGCATTGTTTGGTAAAGCAATCGGTTACCCACTATTAGGACTGAAGAACACAATGCATTTACTTATGGATTCATAGGTAATCTTTTCATAAAAATATTGTTGATGAATGGTATGTTATCAAGCTTTGGTCACATCAACACATACTAGGTACAACAAAAAGTAGCCTTGTCCTAGTCATAGGCTACAATGTATAATTACTAATATTACAATGAATCGTTATTCGACAATGCAGTGTCTTGCCAAACAAACAAAAAATAGCTTTTTTTTCAACTTTTTTAACAACAGATTCTACCTGGTTCTGCATCATAGAAGGTGGTGGTCGTTGTTGCATGTGGTGAAATTGAGTTGGATTTGGTGGCTGTTTTGGAAAATTGTCTGAAAATAAATTTGCTTGTGTTAATGTATAGATAAGATGATGCAATATGACAAAGAATACAAAAAGAATCTTATATACACATCAAACAAAATTATTCAATAAACTTGGATGCCAGTACCAAAACTTCAAATTTTAAAAGGCTTGAGAACTGGTTAAATAACACCATGAAAAACAAGCATATGCATCACAAATCACAATACCAGAATTTTTCATTTCAGCTTAAAAATGGGTGAAGTGGTTAGTAAGACGCACTTAACCATTGAACTATTTAAACCCATAAAAAAATTCGATAATTACCCAATGATCCACTTAATAAAAAAATATGGCTTTAAAAAAAGACGTAAAAATTAATTTAAGTTGAGAAGTTTTGAATTGAAAATATATGATACAGTTGAACGTGGTTGATTCTATAGTCATTAATGTTTTGAGGTAAAACAAAGTCTATGTTCATCTGTCCGATTTTAATTACTAAAATACCAAGTCTATATTCAAAAATTTCCCAAACCCTTATTAATAAACCTCAAAATCCAATTTAAATGCATTTACAAAATCCCACCCACTTCAAACATACCTGCAAGGAACATATGAATAATTACCTGATGTTGGTGGTAATGGTGTATTTATATTTTGACCCATCAGTGGTGGAGGCATGGTGTTGTGAACTTTGTTTGGTGAATAAGGTGCGGTATTGGACATAGGAGCATGAGCACTGGTAGGAACATTTGAACCCATTGAAGGATAACCACCATGTGAGTAATTGGGGTTAAAACCTGCTCTCTGATTCATAGTAGATTGGCTAATTGGTGGTGGTGGCATGTTTTGAGAACTATATTGGGAACTTGGCACATGATTTGAGAGATTCATATTCTGTGAATGGGGAGGACCAGATGGTGGAGTGGAATTACGAGCCCCCGAACTTGGGGTCAATCCAACCAAACCATTCATGTTATATCCACTTGTAGCAGGGGGCATATTGGCCATAGAACCTTGATTGGTAGGCCAAGCATTTGTTGATGGATGATGCTGTGTATTGTTGTATTGATAGCTGGTTGGTGGTGGGGTATGACCATGCGGTAATTGAGCATGAGGAGCAGGGGGAATAGAACTTCCACCGGTCATGCTAGAAGGAAATTGTGGTGGAGGCGGGTGCTTCATCGGACCTATAAAGAAAACAGTAAGAATAAGGAAAAAAATGAATAATAATATTGCAAAGCCCATTATTAGGCACAATAAACAAATTTCAATATATAATGTTGATGTAATAAATAAATCAAGAAAAGTTTAAGACAAAGTTGTCTTGTGCCCCAATTGTAAAAAAAATTTATGCGGGAAAAATTCTTCATAAAAGCCAGTTTATGTGAAATACATCGCGTTTCCCTGATAATAATTACCTGAGCTGCTCCAAGTCCCAGGTAAATCAAAATTTACTAATGCATATTTGGCCTATATAATACTTTGAAGTGCGACTAGCACTTGGCACTTCAGTGTGATCGTATATAACTTTACTTGGAGATCACATCATTTGCTTCAGAGTGAGTGCACATGACTTAGCTTTGAGCAATTTTCTCACATAAAAAGTCTTAAATATAATAAACAATGCTTACTATCAGCGAATACATGATTCACATTAAAAATGTGCCGATACTACTATTCTACTCGCGGGGATGGGGACAAGCATGGCTCACAGTTGATGCGGCCAATATCATGAACAAGATCCCTCCAAGCAAAAAATAATTTCAACATCCGTACTCTAACTTATTTTTCAAAACATTCTGGATCAAATTAAAAAGCCCAATTTAATCGGAAATATCAGTCTATATTCAGCTGATGTCGATACAAATACCAAAAAAATAGACGATATTGTCAATACCGAAACATAACAATTCACATATATATGATAATTATGAAATAAAGTATGCTTACCATTTGATGGATTAGCATTCATACCAGATCCAAAGTTACCGACATCATTAAAATATGGATTGGACATCGTAAAGCGCAATGAAACTATATTTATATTATCGGTATATAATGAAAAAAGAATTATATCCACATTACAGGCAAACAGGTAGCAGTTTATATTTATGGTAATATTCAAATACCAAAAAACATAAAATTACTGTTTATGCATCGTATATGTGGCACAATGGACTAGCGGTTAAAGTGTTTGAATTAACTGTTTGGTATCGTAGATTACACATCTCAGGATCAAGCTTCCTGCTCCTCACCCAACCCAGCTACAGGGGTGGTGACTCCTCTACGGCCAATGGGCCGGGGCCACGACCCATCTAATTTGGCCACATGGGCCGTGACCTATCAAGCTATAAGCGACGGCCCCATCAGCAAAAAAATTCAATTGTCTTACCGAAATTTTCAGTTTTTACAAAATTGTCAATATTCGAACCAAAAAAAATCTCGGGATGCCACTAATTTTTTTTCTTACAAATAACAATAGCTCCATACATATCATGAGATATCAGTGGCTGATTTTACAGGACCTTGTTTCAAGAGAAAGGCACAAGTAACTATCGTAATCCGAGACCACGGCACGCCGAACGTCTGAGCCTGTGAACAAACCTATCAAGACTGTGAGAAAACCAAAGGCACACTATAAAGATGGAGCAACATTTCAGGGAAACCCTTTTACCGATGAACAATCGCCCCTCCTTTCGGGGACGTATGGCCGCGTGAACAAGCGTTGATGACGTTGATGAATTTCAATCGACGCACATCAGCCTACCTCGGCGCAAACCTTGGCTCGGCGTGTTTCTCTCGTCTGTGAACTTATACTTTCCTTGTAGATAGGATGGCGTGTTAACGATAATAAATAAATTGGAGATATTGAAAATTACATTTTGATAATATATATTTTATTTGAATTTGGACACCAACAGTCCATACTAAAACAGTAAAAAATTGATGCCTTGCTGTGGCATTAGATGAATTAATTTATTAAACAATAATTTAATCCAATGGCACAACGAGACGGGTCTCACTACTTACTGAATAGAGCGCGAAGAGCGGGAAATATTTTTCTTTCTTTATTTATTAGCATCCGTGAAATTTGAACAATTTGATGGGAAACAGTATACAGTGGTAGGGAATGATCTCGAGTTTATATCAGTAATCTTCAACATCTTTAAATAACCCAACATGAAATAAAGCAAGAAAAATGTTTCCCTCTCTTCGCACTTCAGTAAGTAGTAAGACCGCAATGAGACATTCATATGCCGCAAAAGTTCAACTTGCGTAATTTATACAAGAACTGAAGAATAGATCAATGAAAAACAAGAATCTAATTAGCAAAATAATTGAATCCAATTTTTACCAAAACAGTTCAATCCAATGTCAGAATGTCGCCTCGAGACATTTATTTTACTATGAATTATTGGTGTTCAAATTTTGATAAAAATCGGTAATACATTGTCTGATTGTGCATTCTGGAAGTTTCAGTTCTGAACAAAAATGTAGATTAAATTGTTATAATTACACGTATAGACGGACATAGAAAGTTTCGTTTCACTATCGATATTAATTCAACTACTGAAAAAAAAATTTTGATTTCGTGCTTCGTTTCGACTCCATTATACTGATATAACGATAATTAAGACGATTTCATGGACTCACAAAAATCTGTTTTGACTCCTATAAATCGAAACGCATAATTTTCTAATCCTTTTGTCATTTGATCTCATTCAACAGTAATTATTATATTTACCCACATTTCTATTTACGCACCATTATTTCTGTATTTTAATAGGCATCTTCGGCAATTGTATAGAGCAGTATACATCAGTGAAAAAAGAAAATTAAATAAGCAAAATTCGAGAGTCGCTCGATGTAGCCTATGCGTGATGTCTAAGTTCTGAAGTTATGCCCATGCTGTCTTTTATCACTTTTTGGTTTTTCTGATTAGATTGAGATCAAAACATAGGATAGGATAGGATTTACATATTTATCCCGGGGAGAGGAAAGCCGATAAGACGGCTTATCCATATGACGAACTACAGCCTCTCGTCCGGTTACCATTCCAAGTCGTGTGTGGGATTAGTTATAGGCCTATTGTTTGTTTTCGGAAGCATGGACTTGGTGGTGGAGGAAGCCGTAACTCTGTAACTGACCAGCGGTTACGTGAACCACCCAACGACGACGAGCAGCCCAGCAATCCTCTCGCACATAACCATCCCTGCATGGGATTCGAACCTGCGAACCCACGCAGAGTAATTAAAGGTGCGGTGGCGAGCGTATTCCTAACAACGCTTAGCCCATTGAGCCACACCGACGCGCCTAACATAATACAAAAGTTTACTAAACTTGATAATCAATACCGGTAGTCAGATAGTCCTAGACTATAACGTTAGATGATGCTGATGGGTATTGCGGTACGGTATCGTACCGGTAACTGCAAAATTGGTTAAGGCGTTAGGTTAGTAGACTAGGTCCGGTGTAACACGCCCAGCCCGATTCATCAACCCGCCGAATACTGAGCTGTCTTCCGAAAAGTTCACCCGGTATTGTATGACTATGTTAAGTCTTCTACTAAAATGCATCTTTATTTTTGCTGTTAATATTCCCCTTTCCTTCATTCACAGAACGATAGGACAGGAGTCAGGACTGTACCTATCTACTGCGATTTCACAACGAAATGGCTAACCTGGCAAGGTTAAGGGTCAGAGTGGAACAAGTATTGGAAAAAAATGCAGGGAGAATACAAATGCGTGTTACATTTGTTACTTATCGATCTTAAGATCGGTAAGTATATTGATAGGTATTTGTCTGTATGTCTGTCTGTCTGTGTGTCTGTGTGTGTGTCTGTTAGATGCACGCGATATCTCACGAAGAGTATTTATCGCATATGTTAAGTAAACGTTGAAGACCTTTGGCTGAAGGTGAAATGCAACACATGTCATCAGCATAAAAAATATGATTGATAATATTGTTATTTGCTACACATCCAATGGTCTCTTGATACAACTTAACAGAATGGTCATCCATGAAAACAGCATATAAATATGGACTCAATATACTACCTTGCTTGGTACCATTATGGACAGAGAAAGGATCTGACACACTGCTACCCTATCTAACAAACATGGATTGATTACGATACATGTGTACAATCAGCGACAAAAATATTTTGGGGATTCTTCTTTTGATTAATTTACGAAATAGAGTCCAGTAATTAACTTTATCAAAAGCTGCAATTAAATTAAAACTCCTGGGAAGACATGGTGATCATTGAATTATCTGATTTATATTTAAGTTTCCGAAACACGACTGAAAACTAACGAATAGAGTTCAAAAACGCGAAAACGAGGTAATGTTTACGACCACGCTTGGTAATATGTCTGAGTGAGAAAGTGTCTGAGCGGATGCGAAAAGTAAGCATTGTTACGTCACTTTTTGCATCTTGCTGATTGGCCAATGTCACGAAGTAAACAAGGAAGTCGATGCTCGGGGAAAGGTCCATCGGCGTTCAAGAAACAGGAGAAAATGAATAAAAAAAACATAAGAAAAAATTTGTCACGGTTGCCAAATTTTAATATCAAATTTGTAAACAGCACAAAAAGTATTGATCAATATATATCATATCGCCAATCTGTTCACCCGGTATTGCATGACTATGTTAAGTCTTCTACTAAAATGCATCTTTATTTTTGCTGTTAATATTCCCTTTTCCTTCATTCACAGAACGATAGGACAGGAGTCATAGGACTGTATATCTACTGCGATTTCACAACGAAATGGCTAACCTGGCAAGGCAAGGGTTAGAGTGGAACAAGTATTGGAAAAAATGCAGCGAGAATACAAATGCGTGTTACATTTGTTTTAATCTTAAGAATGCGCACATCTATTTTGATAACTTTTAAAAGTCCTGAGTATAGCCGTCTTCAGGAAGAAAGTAGATGAAGGTATTACCAACTAAGAACTCAGAATAGAATAAGTTTATTTCGACTCCATGATCAGCATAACAGAGGATGGTATAATCGGTAAAAATAGATGAGTAAAAACTGATTATAGAATCAGGGGAACAATAAAATTCTTAAGTTTAAAAACGCCCTCCCTTAGGCCCTAGACCTAGAGCTTCAAAAGCGTATTCTGAAGTTCTTTTCGTATATATGAAATTAAAAAGAACTCCTCCAATAAGATTTTACCCATGCGACCTAAGGGCCAAAATTTCGCAAAAACATAACCCTGAACTTGAGAGTTTTTATGTCCAGTAAAATTCTGCAAAATATTTTGGCATAAATAGTCGTAATTTTATTTTTTTTTGTGTATTATTATCCAACAAAACAATTCCACAACAAAATTCAACACTTAAACATTATGATGACGTCACGATCTAATATTTATCACGGAGACTCCCTACTCCCTGTGCAACGAAAATCATTTTTTAACGATAATACGCGCAACAAGTCGTGAAAAAGCCAATGTTGTCGTTGTAGTTAAATTCAGATTCATTTTACGTTCTATTTTTGTGTACAATTTTACTGAAAGGCCAAGCATGGTTGGGTAAAAATCATATTTTTCAGAACATTACAGGGTCAAGGATGGAATGGATACCTGATAATGCATGCCAAGCCATTACAAAGTCATTAAAAGAGAGTTATCGACTGTAAGTTTTTATCTGGGTTATGAGTGATTAATACCAGTCTTTCGAAGCTCGGACTCGCCATTTTCAAATCGATGCTTGTCACATAAATAGCACTTTTCGTTGTGTCTAGAACATTTTTTCTAATATTAGGTACACGACGACATAATACGGCAATAAAAAGCTGAGAGTGTTATTAACACTTTCGGTCACGGAATTAGACAGATTAGGGTACGGAAGCCTACATCGGCGTCCCAGTAGGCATTTTAAATTAATTCACACACACGCACACGCATGTAACCTCAGAAGTATAACAGAATATGAAAGGGAGAGAGACTTTAGATAAATTACTTAATTTTCACTGTTTTTGAGCGTTTTAGCAAGGTATCGGCGTTTAGGAAACAGGAAAAAATGAATACAAAAAACCTAAGAAAAATTTTGTTACGGTTGCCAA